TATATATATATATATATATATATGCATTTCAAAATATATAAATGCTTGTTATATAGGTCCAAACTAATAATCTGGACTTAAACCATACACACACACACACACACACTAACTGCATTAGTCATAATGCAGTTGAATTTAGTATTTTGATTAATTTGAATTGGAAGACATGCTGCCGACTCTGAAGTTTTAATTCTGTATCTTTAACATTGACATTGACATTTAACATAATCCATTATTCAGGCTGCTTTCTGATTAGAGCAGCGTAGCACTGTTCTGTTTAAATTTATAAGATTATGTTGTGTTTTAAATATATGTATAACTAAAAAAAGTTTTGCATAGTTGACACATCACTGTTAACATTTATGCCTCTCCATGTATTACTTCATGATGCTGCTTTGAGCAGAAATTGTACAAATCAGAGTATGAGAAGAAGAAGGATAAGTATTCCTTGGTGGTGGATGATCCTAAAACCTTGCTGGCCAAATGGGGAGGAGAGTTAAGCAGTCAGGTACTGTTGGCCAAAGTTGGTCAAGACATCCAAAATGTGGCTGCTATCATTTGTGGATGTCCATTTTTACATGTCTGAAGTGTCGCTAGTCCGCTATAACAGGTGTGATTCGGGATATTCAAAATGTTATGTCTTTCATGTACTGAAAACTATCTGTACTTCGCCACCCAAAATTGCTCAGTAGCTTTTTGAGTGAGCCTGTCCATATTCTGTGTTCTCATAAATTATGCCCCAATGGATGAGGATGACTTCTCTACTACATTTCAATAAGAATGTTCTTCTTATTAAAAGGGCAGCCCTGGGTGCGGGGATAGCTCTTTTGGTTTCCGCTGTTCAGTTATTCAGTTATAACATTATTCATGATGCTGCCTACAGCAAATACCGTTCATTGGTGTGATTTTTGAGAACACATGAGTAGTTCAAAGGCCTAAATCTCACTATCTGGGATCTAGAGCTCTTTTTGTTGTCTTCATGAGTCTTTTCTTTTTTGTGCTTCGTTGCTGTTTGCATGAACAGAATAAATATAAGTCTAGTGCCAAGTTGTTCCTACAACGGGGGTGCAATGAAATTCTGCGACCAGATATGCTGACAGCATTGTACAACACATATCAGTGGAGTCAGGTAATGTTTTGTAGTAGTAGTAGTAGTAGTAGTAGTAGTAGTAGTAGTAGTAGTAGTGGTAGTGGTAGTGGTAGTGGTAGTGGTAGTAGTAGTAGTAGTAGTAGCAGCAGCAGCAGCAGCAGCAGCAGCTGATGTAGTAATGGTAGCAGTAGTAGCAGTAGCAGCAGTTATAGTGGATTGATAGTGCTGATGTGACAGTAGTGAATATTGAAGGATGTAATTAAAAATCTGCATATATAATAGTCTCTGCATATATAATAGCCTTTAATAGACATTAAACCTCTGTACAATGCACACCACAGAATACAGTGAATTGACTGAAGAAGGCTTTGTCCAATAAACATAAAAACTTCGTTAAAAGAGTGGAGTTGATTTTGAATGTTGACATTATTTGCTACATATTAGAGCAAAGACAATGAATGGGAGGAAACTACTATGGGTCTCTCTTTCTACACATAGGTCAAAACTACATCTGTCTGTGACACATACAGGTATGAGTAGGAAGAAATATCCAGTCTCATTTTCCATGCCTATCATCATGATAGCCATCTGGCTAGCAACCATATCCCCCTATTGGCTATATAAAATGCTATTTTAGATCATTTGTTCCCTGCAAATACAAATAGATGCAATTTATTTCGGTCTCCTGATTTTTACCTTCATCAGGACAACTTGCATTGTACCAGCTACAATATTTATTCTTCTTTTGGGGGAGAGACTAGTCCCAGAAATTATTGTTCTTTATTTGGAAAGCCTTCTCAGTTTTTGTTAAAATGTGGGAAGGGAACATCTGGCCAACATAGATTCTCCATTGTGCACATGATAGTCATTGTTTACCTGTTCTAATACAAACATCCCCTTCATTCTCTAAACAAGTTCAAACTGGCATAGCTGCATCCAAGAGCTTGGACATTCATATTTAGGGTTTCATAATTCAGTCCTTCAGCTTTCTATAAGCCCAATTCTAAAATGAGATATCAGTCATTTTTAATCTTTTCTATCATGTGCAGCTACCTGAAAATTAAATCTTTCTGCTCCCATTTAAACTCCAAACCTTGAATTCACAAACAAATCATGTTTGGAAGTAAAGCAGCATTGATATTTGTGAACAAAATATTCATTTTATCTAAATCTAGATTACGCTACAATAATCTTAATTGATTTACAGGAATCAAGGAATATTATGATGCCAAACTTTATTATTTACTTGCCCTAAAATTGATAGATTGTTTTCTTTACACGTAAATAGTTTTAGATTTGGAATGTTAACTAATCTTAGAATTAAATTCAGTCTCCCTGCATCTAGTCTACACACATGCTTTATTTTTGGCATTGATACGTCAGCAATCTCTTAGTATATGCTGTCATTGTTTTGTATACGCGCAATTCTTTGTGCATGAATTTGTGTCTTTGGGCATGCATTTGTTGTTGTTGTTTTCATTATAATGCATAAACAAAAATGGTTATGTTTTCACTCTTGTCTTTATACCATTTTAAGAGGTCCTGGTATTCTACGTATAACTAAATAGAAGGTTCCCCGAGGTTCCCCTATAATAATATTTATGTCTACTGCTCAAAATAAGTAATATATTTATAGATATTTTAAAAATATCTGTACAATTAATAGTTTCAGTATTTTCCCTTCTGCTATAATTATGAAGTATTGTTTGGATTTGCAATTAATCTGATGTTTCAAAATAAAAACAAAAAATAATTTAGGAAGTTCAATACCAGTATTTTTTTTTACTTAATATACAGTTGTAATATTGGCCAACAACTCCTAATTTTTGTGGGTTCAGTGGTCCTGAATTCATTCATACTCTTATATACAGCCCAGAGTCTGAGTGGATTGCAACAGAAAGGAAACACTATAAAATGAATAAATCAATATTTAACAAATTCTTAAATTTACGTTCTAAAAGATGCAACTTACTTACACTGGTTATTCATTGTAAGAGATCCTTCCAAGTGCAGCCCATGTTTTCATCTGCTTGGGTGAAAAGCTGCTAATTTACTCCTTTTATTTATCATGTTCACATCCTGTCCCAGGAAGGATATATGGGATTATCTCATATCCATTCCCATATCAAGGTGGTGGGAGGGTTAGAGATGATGATTCACAGTAGTCAGTCCAAGTTACATGGCTGAGAGGTGACTTGAATGTGTGCTCTGCAGGGTTTTTTTTTGCATCTCGTTGGCTTCCTTTGAATTCAGCATAACCAAAAGACACCTAACTGACATTTCCGTTGTGTGGGCTTCGCTCCCCACATAGACAGTTTCAGTTGACCTCTATGCAGCTGTTGATAGTCAGCAGGCTAATTCTAGCTCCCTTTTGAAAAGGTGTATTGGCGGTGTTTTTGTTGCTGCCATTCCATATCGCTGTTATTTGTTTTTCCTTCCACAGTACAAGTACAAAAGGCTGTATGAAAAGCAGAAGGACAAATTTACGAGTATTGTGGATACTCCAGAACATCTGAGGACTACCAAAGTCAACAAGCTAATCAGTGATGTAAGTGCTGAGATTTGAAAGAAGTGGTGTCAAGCAACTTTTTTTATTATTGTTATTTTGGGAGAGATAGGAAATGAATCAGTAGTGGCTCTCTGACTGAAAATTCTCAAATTAAATGGTAAGTTTAAAGATAAATCAATGATGGGTTTGGGTTTTTTTTATGTGTTCTGGAGAAGATATGGGTCACATATCTTCAAGAAGATTGGTGTCTCTTGAGTTCTTGGCTTCCCCTCAGTTTTGTTTCCATAACAAACTTCTCAGACTGAGAAATAGTGACTAGTCAGTAACCTTCCTAATTAAGAGATTTGAGATCAAATACACTTGTCAAACACACCAAATGATAAACTATATCATCAAGTATAAAATGTTCATTGACTGGTAGCAGACCTGAATGATGCAAAATCCGATGCCAAAAGCTAATTACAATTCCATGTTTTTGTTTTTGTTGCCCTATATATATGTATGTGTGCTGAAAATATAGGCAATTTTCTCTACAGATGTCCTCAAGAAGACTTTAAGTTGGATAATTAAGAGAGTGCTATCAACTGCAATCATTCATGTCTGATAGCTAAGATACAGTATAGGGTGTTCAGTTACCATGCTATCACCCACTTTCTTCATTCTGACCTATGTATGTTCTGTGCATGCAAATGATTGTTTCATTGGCTTGATAGTTCAAATATAGGAGATCAAACAAGCCAATTTTAATATTGTTGTGATTGTAGATGCAACATTTGTATGTCTTATTTAGACAGATCTAGATGAGAGTAGTGGACATATCACTTGTTTTGCTTGGACTGGACTGGATAGTTGCATTTTTCAAGTCACTCATGATATCCAATAGGAGATAACTAGGGAACGAAGAGAGGTTGGACATTTTGGGGGTGACTTTCTAACGGAAGTGTGTGTGTGTGTGTGTGTGTGTGTGTGTGTGTGTGTGTGTGTGTGTACGAACATGCACACACATCTTTTCATGTGACAACACTGAAGAAATGACACTTGGCTACAATGTAAAGTAATGAGTATACAGCTTGTATAACAGTGTAAATGTGTTGTCCCCTCAAAATAATGCAACATACAGTCATTGTCTAAACTGCTGGCAAGATATACTTAAATATTTACAAAATGTGAGGGAATGTACTCACTTCTGTGATATGTGATATACTGTATGTCTGTATATGTATGTATGTATGTATGTATGTATGTATGTATACACATACACACACACATACATATACATATATATATACACACACACATACAGTAACTACATGTGCTATTTTTCTTTTATGTTAGATTCTTTATAAACTGGAATTCCAGAAAGCCAAACCAAAGGGCTATACCAGCATTCACGATACTCCCATGATTCTCCATGTACGGAAGGTCATGGACAGAATAAGTGAAGTAAGTAATTTTTTACAATTGTATCCTTCTAATGAAGTGCCCCACGTGTGTAAGACTATTTATTTCTATGCTTTGGATTTAAGTTATGTTGTTGTAAATATATAGTCAGCCTTAAATAGTTGTCTGCAATCCAGCCTAGCATAAATACATGAATAATGCTTTTGGAATAGCTTTGATTCTATCTTTCCTTATGTCAGTAAAACATTCATCTTCTGTTTTTCCAACAGCTGAAATATAAAGAACTCTATGAGCAGAACAAATCTCACTGCAATGTGGTATCAGATTCAGTTCACATTAAAGCTGCTAAGCAGGCTTACAAAGTGAATAGCAATGTAAGTTCTTCCTTCCTTCCTTCCTTCCTTCCTTCCTTCCTTCCTTCCTTCCTTCCTTCCTTCCTTCCTTCCTTTCCCATCTAAATGTTGTCATTGGTGACTAAGGCTTCCAAAGGAAACTAGGAAAGCAGGGTTCCCAATTCCCACTCTCTTGAACATTTGAAGAACCCACTTGTCATATTTTAATAAAAATCCAGAGTCAAAGTATTCATGTTCCTCATGCTATTTTCAGAAGTACGAAGATGGGCTCACACCATCTTGTTGAGTTACATTCCTCATAAAGAAAGGGAGGCAGTATAGATTCCCAGGATACAACTTTCTTGGAGAATCTTATGCAACCCAGAAGTTATAAATGAAGATGCCATCATTTAACAAATAGAATCCTGGCAATTAGCTTTTGTGTCCTCCCAAAAAGAGAACCGACCACCTGGACAAGCTGTGTATTTCTATTCTTGGGTAAAATCTAAACTGGTTTTATCTTTTTCCATCAATCTTTTGTAACATCATAAAAATGGCTCATTAAATCTATAGGAAGCTAAATTGGATGACTTTTAGACATAGATGTGTGATTTGCCCAATTACACCATGCCGTAGACACATCACTCTTCTATGGAGTTTACATCTGTCCGAGGCTAATATTCTTATTAATCATGTCTGTTGATTGGTTGATGGATTAACTATTCAGCAAACTACAATAACCTTTTTAAATTCTAAAGAACCCTTTGATTATATGTTTATATTTCTTATTAAATAGCTGGATTACAAGAAGAAATATGAAGCAACCAAAGCTCACTGGCACTGGACCATGGATAGGCCTGACTTTATCCAAGCCGCTAAGACATCCTTGCAACAGAGTGATGTAAGCAACTGAGAAAGAAAACTTACTTTTTTCCCTGATGGAATAAGACAATTTGTTGATATTTAGAATAAACTAGATACTTTTCAGTTTTTGCTGTTGTTGCTATTATTCCTTCTTTCTTTGCAGTACGAATACAAGCTTGACCGAGAATACCTCAAAGGATGCAAGTTGTCTGTAACAGATGACAAAAACACAGTGTTGGCATTGCAGAATGCAATCTTGTCAAGTGATGTGAGTATTTTAAAATCTTTTCTATGGAAACTTTTATCACTTTTGACCATTCTTGCTAAACAGAAATAAAACATAAATGTAATCAAATGTGTTTGCAGTATTTACAAATAATGGTTTGTAAATATGTTTTACAAATAAGGAACTGTCTATATTCCTAGATGCTACTTTAATAATCCTTAGGTCCTTGGTTAGGAACTGAATTATTGTTTTCACCAGTTTTAGTCTTGATTCCAACTGTAGACACAATAATAATAGAGACAGCTGAAATCCTCTCTCTGGTTGGCCATCCAACTCTAGTTAATACTATCTCACTGTAGGCTACCTTATCTTCAGGACTAACATTAAGTTCTATAGTGTCCCCAAAAGATTAACTGACCCCAATTGATTTTACATCTTTTATTGACCTCCAGACTTTGCTGATCCCCTTTTGACCCCCAGCTATTTATGAATACTTGAATACTCCCATCAATCCTTGGGGATCAGTATTGACCACTTTGGGGGACCCTGGTCTAGATGAATGCCTGCACCATGTTTAAACAAAGATTTTGTAAGATTAATGTCCCATCACATCCTTCTCCTAAGTTCTATTAGGTCAAGAATTGTTCAAGGTTACATTTTGAGTTCAGAAACATCTTAGAGTTGCTTAAGCTTCAGTATAAGATTTCTCTATCCTGGGTTTTTAATAGCTAAGAGAAGAAAACAATATGCTTACTGTTGGTAATCTCATTTGTGGAATCCTGTTGATGATTGTTGCTTGAAAACATGTTTCCCCCCTTTTTAACTTCTCAGTTAAAATATAAAGAGAAGCACAACAAGGAACGGGGAAGCATCCTTGCTGTTCCAGACACTCCCCAGATCCTTCTTGCCAAGATGGTTAGCTCTCTTGTGTCTGAGGTAACTTACTTTTTCATTTTTTGTTTTGCAATTATTTGGCTTCAGAATATCTTCTTCCAAAAGATAAGTGATTTCCAAAATATTTTGTTTGTCTTTTGATAAACAGAACAAATACAAAGAACATGTGAAGAAACACCTCCCACATGGTTCTTTCACAACATTGCCAGAAACACGGGATACTGTTCATGTCAAAAAAGTCACCAGTAATGTTAGTGAGGTAGGCTACTTCTGCATCATTTTATCCACATTACAGATGGTCGGTCATTGGCCTTTGCTGTGTTTGTGAGTGAAACTATAATTTTTCCACTGTAAATTATAACTTAGTGTTTTCTGAAAGGTATTCTTTATCATAAGTTCTTTCAACTGTTCAAATATTCAGAATCTACAAAGGCTTAACATGTTGTGGAGTGTGTACTTACAATTGTTGAAAAATCTGGAAAGTGTTCCTCTCATTTGAACTGCCATGATTTAAAAACTTGCTTATGAACACAATAAAAGAATTTTAAGTACTTTGAAAATTTAGAAAGAAGATAGAAATGAGGGCGAGAAGAAAATATGACTAGGAATTAAGAACAGATGTGGTGTTGCATGTATAATTGATGGTACCGACTTTATTATTTTATGTCAATTCAGTAATATGGCTGCCCTTTGAATCCAATCAATAATGCAAACTGTTTGAGAATATAAAGGAAAATGACAGCAGAAATAAAGAGATAAGACTTATTATTGTACCAGCATACACTCACACATCCTTTTTTCCAGATAGCAGTGTTTTTAATCTGTCTTTCTTATTTTAAACATCAAAAGGTTTTCAATGGAGAATAATAAGTATAACTTTCTATCCCAAACAGACAAATTATAAAAAGAAATTTCAAAAACAAAAAGGCAAGTCAGATTATTCTGTCATGGTGGAACCTCCTGATGTGAAGCACGCCATGGATGTGACAAAGAAACAGAGTATTGTAAGTTATTTCTGCACTTTCTTCCTTAACAAATAATATGTGATCTGTTGTTAGATGCAGAGCCATTTCAGTGTATTGTTAATATTTGGAATTAAGATATCATGATTTAACCAAGATACGTATATAAATGAATGTGAAACTAACAGTCTCCAAGCAAGGAAAATAGCCCTGGTGGTCTCTAAGCTTGGTTGTTGTTGTTGTTTTTGCAAACATTTCATTACCCAAACTAGGTAACATCATCAGTGCTAGTTTGGGTAATGAAATGTCTGCAAGAAAACAACTAAACTCAGAGAGCACCAGGGACTCCTCACTATCAGTCTCCTTTACAAACAAACCAGAGGTGGGTTTGGCCCTGATCAGGTGAACCAGTAATGGCAGTGGCAGGAGGATCCGCCCACGCGCCCAGACACTTCTGCGCATGCACAGAAGCTTATGTGCATAGTCAGAAATGTCCTGCATGCGCACAAGCGAACCGGTAGTAAAAAAATGGAAACCCACTACTGAAACAAACCTACTTTACCGGTTAGCCACTGAAATGGTAAAATGAAAGGAAATCTAAGGAGAAACATAGAAAGTAAGTGTAGTGATAGTAATAATAATTATGCTAATTATTAGGAAAATGACTTTATTTGTTTTTTGCATTTCTGAACTGCCCATCTTCTTGAAGAGGTAGCAGTATACTTACCTCTCCTCCTGAAAATGAGTTCCACTTTGGAGGATAAAGCTTACCTTGGTTTCATTATTACACATATATGATAAGATTCTGATGGATATCACGATAATTTGATTTCTCAATTCCTGGAAAGATTTGTTTAATTCCAGAGTGCTTAATGCCCCATATAATTAATTTGAAAATAAGTGTTTTAACATTTTAAAGAAAGATTTGAGCATGAATGGCATGGTTTTTAGAGTATACACTGCCCTAAATTTTAGGTGTATTTCAAGCATGATAGATGCAAACCGGTGGGTGGGGGGGGGCTTCCTTCAATCTACTTTGATTTTCTTTATAATTTCATTTTAAAGAATAAATATGTGAAATTATATTCTGCAGATGAAAATGAAAAGCCTAGTTTATGTTTCAAAAGTTAGTTCTATCTCTGGCCTTTATCCTATCCCAGAAGCCTTCCTAAATACTGGCCATTACAACATCCTGGATCAGAGCTGAATTTCCCAGTACTGTACTATTAACTCTGCTTTCTAAACATTCTGGGAGACAGAGGGGAGGCATTAACTGTTCATTCAATCAAAAGCAAATATATGGTTTCCAGATGTGAGAGAAGAGACAACAATTGTGAAGATATGTGTGTATGGAAGCAACAAGAAAATTGCCTCTCTCCAATGACTTTTCCCAAGGCATCACTCTTCCTTCTTTGGCAGAAGCAAATGGCTGTGAGGAAAAAAAAAACCAGAGCAGATGTAATCATGCCTCACAATATCTCCATCCTTATTGATCTGAGTTGGGCATAAAGGTCTCCATGCCCATGATAGCTTCCATAGATGACTACATTTGCATCACCCCTCTCCATTTCCCCATTCTCCCTTTTGCTAAGCATTCATATATAAATGGTGATTTTATCCTGCCCAGAGCAAACCAAATGGCAAAATATTAGCTGATTTTCATCCTTCTGTTGTCTTTTCTAGTTAAAAAAATAATTTTAAAAATATCTTCTTTTCTAGTTAAAAAAATATTGTGTTTATCATTGATCTGCCTCTTCCTTTCACTTACTGTAGATTGGATATAAAAAAGATGCCAAATCACAGCTCCATTATACCAGTGTGGCAGATCGACCCGATATTATGAAGGCCACGCAAGTCTCCCATTTAGTCAGCGATGTGAGTTCAAATCAGTGTAACTGCTTCATGTTATTTTCATTTTTGTATGTAGAATGCAACATTGATTGGTTTTCAAATGTCTGGCTTGATCTTAGATTGAATACAAAGGCAAAAGTCGCAAAGATGCTGGAGTAGGAGTCACCATGCTTGGACGTCCAGATATTGAACTTGCCAAAGAAGTGTCCAAACTAACCAGCCAGGTACGAACAGCAAATAATTTACAACAATAGGAGCATCTGACACAGGATTTCCACACCTAAAGTAATCAGTAGAGTTGTTTCTGAGTTAAAGAATCCTGTCACTGTGTATAGCATGTGAATTCAGCTTTTCATACATAAAAGGGTTAGTTCTGTGTTGTAGACATCCTGGACATGCATGGGCCACCCTTAATCTTTGATTAATCCTGGGCTTAGTCTGGGCTTCCAAACATTAACACTGAATATACAGAAGAAATCTGGATCCCAATTTCAGAAGGCTTGACTAGCTCAGTGACGATTTTACCTTTAAAGTGAATTATTTAAAATGAATTCTTCCTATTCAGATGAATATGTACTGAATGGTAAAGAGTAAAGCTACTTCAGCGTTCATTTTGGGCAGACATCCAACTTTAAATTTACAGGGCATTTTAAATGTCGCAGGAAAAATTTATTCGAGGTTTAAAAATTAGATTTGCTGTATTAAAATTTCTAAAGCAAAACATCGAACAAAGGGTAGGTTTCCAACTTCAAGTTTGTCTATAAACTAATTGGAAGAGAAGGACATCTTATAGAAGTGAGTATGAAGCTATTTTTATTGATAAAATATTTATTGCTTTTTACAAAACTCTCATCTATGGTTTTCATATGACAGTTGTTCCAGAAAATACCATAGTCATACCACACTCCTGGATTTGAGATAACTCTCTAGAAATAAAAAATACAAACACAAACAAAGCATAATGGCAATTTCCATTATTATCAAATATGTGTATGCAGATATATACACAAGTTATACAGATACATATGTTTGTGTGTACATCTACATGTTTGATGGAAGCTACAATCTAATATAGGCAGAATCTAGACCAAAAAATTGAATACTACCTAATTAAAACCAATAGCCAGCAAAGTAAATACTTACTTATAAAATAGATTTTAATAGGCTTAAAGATGTCTGGACATCAACTCCCAGAATTCCTCAACCAGCATGCTGGCTGCTGAATTTTGGGAATTGAAGTCCAACCATCTTTATTATTTATTATTTATTATTATTATATAGTCACCATTTTCTATTCTCAGTGAATACATGACCCACAAAATACTGTACAACCTATTTAGATATAATTATTACTCCCCCAACTTTCTGTTAAGTAAATTTGGTATGCCATATATTACTAGTACAGGATTTTTAAAGCAATAGTTACCAGCTCCACATTTTTTTGCAATAAATATTTTGATGTGTTTGTCTTATTTCCATTCCCCATCTATTTGGGATTTCTGACAAGATATTTGCTTGAAAACCTACAGTTATACTCAAAGATTTTCTAGCATAATACTTGGATATTTCTACTTTGCTGAAACTGTGCTTTATTGCTTGTATAAATGATTTATTTTCAATAATTTGGTACCTTACATTTTAGTGTTGTTACTAATTAACATCAACTGTTTGTCCTCCATCAAACTTTGAACAAGTGGTGAGCTTCCAAATCATACTGCTTCTATCCTATGAGACATCTCCATCAAGAAAAGGAATGGATGATGCCTACATTTCTGTCTTAGCTCTTTGCTTTGTGTCATTGCAGGTTGGCTAACCTAATCTTACTATCTTGCTATGCTTTGTAGGTCACATACATTAAAGGATACTTGAGGGGCCATGGGGCAGCATCGTATGATACACCCATGATGAGGCATTTTAAAAAAGCTAACACCCTAAGTAGTCATGTAAGAAGGATTTAAAGTGTCTGTCCTTTTCAGCTTTTCACATTTTATGAATTTTGCAAAATGTTCTTTGGCACATAAAATTGAGCCTGGATTGCCAATGGGATGCTCTTTTTTAAAAAAATGAAAATCTCGTGAAGTTTACTTTTTTTTAAAAAAAAATCTCCCTTTTCTTTCTTATGCAAAATTGCTCATGAGAGTTCAGTATTGAAATGGAGATTGAATATTTGTTCAAATCTAATAATTTTAGAAGGTACAGTTAGTGCATTTAAAGTGCAAGCCTGGTCTAATGAATGTTGTGGTGCTTTAACTAAAACACACATAGTAAAATGCGTAAAAAAATGGCCATTCACTATGGAGGCAGAGCTGAGACAATAAGCAAGCATTCCCAATAGTGATCTTACCTTATTGTCTTCAACCAGGCTGTACAAAACATTGAGTTTTGAAGAAAGGCTTCTGGAAAATAAAGCCAGAACTGTATCTTGACTAATTTCTAATTGCTGCTATTTGCTCTCAAGTATTTCCTGTTTATTTTCACCACTCCCTCTTAAGAATCTCTTACTATCTGCCTTCTCCAAATTGGCTCCTTCCATTGAGATGGCTTCCAAGTACTGTCAGCCCCAGCCAGCATGGTCAGTGGTGAAGGATGATGGGAATTGTAGGCCTAAACCTTAGGAAGGACATACATTGGAGAGGACTTTTGGACATAAGGAAAAAAGGGAGATGTTTCCTTTCTTGCTTACCTTTCTGTATGTTGCATGCAGTCACAGGCATTCTTCTGTGCTTGTGACAAAAATCAGTTCTTTGTACAGAAAGATGATAAGCCATCTTATCCTTGTAATGATACACTCTTATTAAGCTTATTTAGTCTTTTATTGAAGAAAAAGCAACTTTTGACTCTTGGAAAGTTAATGGGACTAATAATCTTTTCTTGGAAAAAAAATCCAATACTCTTGTCAGATTTATAGACGTTCATATGATACATCATTTGTTTGTGTGGATGTTTCTATACTTTTGACTGTGCAGAAGTTCAACATATAATCTTTCAAGGAGTTATTTGTCATCTATACTGTCATGTCACCAGTTCCATCACTGTTATGGTTAATCTGCATGTCATTTCTTATGTTGTTGTTGTTTGCCTGTTTCCTCTGTTGTCCATTTGCCAATAGAAAACATAGAATTGGAAATCCTTAGTCAAAGTCCACATACATAGCATTGGATGTGGTTAAACGTTTTCCCTGGTCATGTGTCAGATCTGTCATTGTGAAAATGTCTTTGTTTCTCTCAAATGCATCAGTTCACATGTGATTCTTTGTATGTTTCTCAAGGAAATCTAACCAGAAGGATATTAACTGAATGTCACCAGCATTTTTATCAGTCTAGTTTAAAAGTGAAACTATCCAGCATGATGGATACAGAATAGAAATAAAAAATCATGGAATGTGAGTTGAAAATGCACTATGGTATCTTTGATTTTATGATGATAGACTGACTTTACTTCTTTATAATGTGTTGCTTCCTAGCATGATCAATTCCTTTCATCAGTTATGGCAATCAGCTCTTGCAGACAGAGTTAAGCCCATCTTTTAAGACTATTGTCCATTTACTTTATATTTAAACTCTATAGTCTAAATAAATTGAAAATGCCCTTAGTTGTGGCCTGATGATGCCATTATTTTTATAATTTGTGATGTCATCTACTAAACAGCTAATATATTTCCTATTTTCTGACTTTGTTTAATAATAATAATAATAATAATAATAATAATAATAATAATAATAGTACTAAACATTTAGAAATTAATAATCTTGTTTATCTAGAAAGTTATATTACTTAATGTAAGTACAATATTATGTAATATAAATACAATATGCAAGTTCCACTAAAAAAAAAACTGAGTTGAATATAATTATATTGGGATGAAAGCAAGCTGGCTGAATTATTTACATGATTAGAAGCAGAATATCCATCAGTGGGTTCAGATAGATTGTTTTAAATCTAATAAGAAAAACATCTCAGCAGAACTTTAATTTTCAGTTGCTTTTTAAAAACAATCTAAAAGGCTATCACTTCTCTTAAAACCGATAATTTGGGCATCAACTATGCCAGGTGAAAACTTCCTTGATGGTAGTAGGATAAATAATGACCTTCCATACGGGAAATCTTAGGAAAGTTATTGTCTTACTTTATTGATAATTATTCACCATAATCGGATGTAAAATGCTCTTTGATATTTTCAAAGTAAAAGCAAGACATAAACACTTTAAAAATCTAGCTACACCAATAGAAGAGAATATTTGGTACCCTCTGAGTTTGCAGACATTTCATCACCCAGCTAGGTAACACCTTCAATATTAGAAGGGAAATGCTGATTAATGTACATAAACAGAGAGCAAACCCCACTCCCTTTTAGCACTGAAGAAGCACAGAAGCACTATGGATTCTACAGCTTTGGCTTTTACATAAGTAAGTTTACTGCCTTTTATCATGCCTTTGTGGGATGTGGTGGTAGAGTAACAGAATTGTATAATGCCACCTTTCCTCTTCTTAGGCCTGAATATATGCCAGATTGCTGCTTGCTTCATTCCTGTAGCCATGCTGTCTGGGAGTGAAGGGATATCTGGAATACTGTGTCATTCAACTGGAGGTTGGGGAAAACCCTTGCTATAAGAACACAACGGAAGTTGTGCTTCATCTCACTTTCTCAGGCATCTTGTTCATTTTTTTTTCCAATGGATAAATTTGATACCTTTTGGTTTGTGGAGCTGAAATAAACCACTGAATGAAAGAAGAAATGTCGCCCTGTGAAATGTAGCATGTATCAATCTTACTACTGAAAAATCTTGGTCTTTCCAATGGTCTCTTTTGTTTCGAAGTAGTTCCTATGTGATGCATCCTTTGATCTGCTTGCTTGCAATCAGATTTCTTTTGAACACCTGATTGTGGATAGGTGCTTTCTCTTCTCCCTTCTTGGTGCCAGAAATGCTAAAGTTCAGGACCCCTTTTAATATATATATGTGTGTGTGTTTTCTTGGACTCAGATCAAGTACAAAGAAAGGTTTGATAAAGAAAAAGGAAAGAAGCCTCAATACGATCTGAAGGAGAGCAAGATCTACAAGAGCTTGAAAGATGCTCACCACATTGCAAGTGATGTAAGTCTGGTTCATTAGCTTTTATTTGAATGGTGAGGAGAACCCAGGCGCCAGATCTAGGTTCCTTTGAGAGAGGTTTGCTAGAACCTTCTAGTATTTGCAGGGAAAATAAAAGATATAAACAGACCAAGCACAGGTGAAAACAGTTTAAAAACACTAACAGTACAGGTAGTCCTTGACTTACAACTATTAGTTTAATGATTGTTCAAAGTCACAATGGCACTAAAAAAAGTGACATGACCGATTTCACATAACCACTACTGAATCCCCTTTATCACATGTCAAAAATGCAGGTACTTGGCAAATGGCCTGTATTTATGATGTCTGCAATGTCCCGAAGGGCATGTGATCATTTTGTGCAGCGTTCTGACAAGCAAAGTCATCGGGAAAGCCAGATTCACTTTATAACTATTTTACTAACTTCACAACGGCAGTGATTCACTTAACGATGGTGGCAAGAAAAGTTGTAAAATGAGACGAAACTCACTTAACAACTGTCTTGCTTAGCAACTGAAATGTTGGGTTTCATTGTAGTCATAAGTTGAGGAATACAGGTAGTCCTCAACCTATGGCCACAGTTGAACAGTAGAAGCTGCTTAGATGAGAAAAAGAAAAAAAAAACCCAAGACAATGCAGTTGGCTTTTGAAAAAGCACCTTTGGAACCATTATGACAGCGATGGCGAAACTTTTTTGGCTCGTGTGCCATAAGGGAGGGAGCGCAGGGGGGGTCGTGTGTGGGCATGCTGCACCCATAATGCACAGCGCAACCCCCCCCCAGTGCACATGCATGCATGAGAAGCTCTCCTCCCCATTTTTTGCATGCTTTTTTTGCCCTCCCCAGGCTCCAGAGGCTTTATAGGAGTCTTTATAGTTTTTAGTCCTCTGGGGGCTTCAGGGAAGCCTCCTGAAGGTCCCTGAAGCCTCCGGAGGGCTTAAACCAGCCTTACGAGCAAACCAGAAGTCTGTTCCCGAACTTCCAGTTTGCCCATAGGGTTGGGTTTTTGTGCTGCGGAGGCTTCAAGGAAGCTCCGGAAGCCTCCGGAAGGCCTCTGGGGTGGGTGGGGAGGCTCTTTTCGCCCTCCCCAGGCTCCTATAAAGCCTTTGGAGCCTGGGGAGGGCGAAAAATGGCTTTAAAAAATGCTGAACTCAGCTGGCCAGTGCGTGCATGCACACTAGCCAGCTGACAGGGCAACGCCTCATGTGCACTGATAAATGGCTCCGTGTGCCACCTGTGGCACCTGTGCCATAGGTTCACCATCCCTGCACTGTGACCTGAATGCAGAGGTGGGCTGCACTTACATTCACATTGCAGTAATGGTATCCCTCTTATCTTTGCTACTGGTTTGGAAGGTCCATGATGACATCTGGGTGGGTGGGTGGAGTCTTGTATCGCTGCCACTACTGGTTTGCCCGAACCGGTGTGAACCGGCAGAATATCACCTCTGGTTCACTGGTTGAGAGCGCGTGCATGCACATGCGCACTTGCATGTGACCCTTTGGGAGTGAAATGGAGCTTCAAAGAAGCAGGTAATCAACTCAGGCAGCTCCGGTGAGTAAAGCAGGGCTGGTGCGAAACTCAGCTGGGCAGCGAGGGCGGAGGGAACGAGCCAGAAAGTTAGTTATAAATGGATAGCTTAGCACAAGGGCAGGCGGGTGGGCCCAGCCAGCGATCAAAGCTAAGGGTTTGCCCGAATCCGCGTGACCACACAGCAGCCCACCACAGCCTGAATGACTGAAAATCTCCATAGACAGTAGCATGCCCGCACAAGCTGTCGTATGGCAATAGAAATGCATTCCATTTATAAGCCTACTTTATGTATTCCTGTGACAAGGTTGCTGACATTTTCCTTTGTTTTATCAACAGGTTAAATATAAGGCAGATCTGAAGAAACTTCACAAGCCGGTGACCGATATGTCTGAATCGCTTGCGATGAATCATGTTTTGAACACCAGCCACCTTGCCAGCACTGTAAGCCTGTTAGCTAAACCGAGATACTATCAGTTTAACCTTTCCTTGCCTTTCTAAGATAATATCAGCTAACAATCCTCCTCCTTGACTGTTCCTAGGAAATCACCTGGTAGTGATCTCTTATCTTCTGCCTGATAATATCCCCCATGTTGACTAGCAACATTAATACCTCAAGTCTTTAGAACTTTTTCTATTACTTTTAAAACAGAACCACTAATAATGTTAGCATCTAACTACATTTTAATAGCTTTTTTTTTACTTTTATAATTCATATTTTTACTAACAGGTATTATTTGATTAACTTTTTTTATTTTTAACCCACAACTACTATTTTGAAACAATAATCCTTTTTAACTTTTAAAACCATTTTCAGACTTAATCTGCTTTTGTCTGAACTTTGATCTTCTTGCTATAATGAATTCTGCTTGTGGATTTGGTCGATGCATCTAGTCAGCCATTTTGTGACACAAAATGCTGAACTAAATCACCCTTGAGTAATATCAGCTAATCCCGTTTTATATTCTTAAGCGAAAACCAAGGGGCATCGTTCCATTTTAATGGCATCACTTATTCACTGCATCACATTTCTTTGATTCTTTTCTTCTTCTCCCCCCCCCCCCGTTTTGTAATTTTGTTCCTTTTTGCCTCATATTTTTTTCTTTCTTCTTCTCTTTTATATATTTCTTTTACATTTAATTTCTGATGTCTCATTTGACTACCGATATGTTTTTTGTAAGATGATCTAGAAAAGCTGCTCTGGTTAGGACATTTTTTTTAAACTATTGAGGTGGTTTTTGACGCCTTCCCTTTAGTACCAGTACAAGAAGCAGTATGAGAGGAATAAAGGTCACTACCATGTGGTTCCAGATAACCTTGAACAGGTCCATCTAAAGGACGCCACAGAACTTCAGAGCATAGTAAGTCAGTTAAAGGTTTCACACTATGTATGTTTACTACCATATGCCACTGTATCTGTATTCTTATCCAAAACATGTCAGAGTTCTATGGACTTTTGTAGTGGTGAAATCTAATTTTTCCCCCTACCGGTTCTGTGGGTGTGGCTTGGTGGGGGAGGGGGGTCATGTGACTGGCTGGGCATGGCTATATAGTCATGTGAGTGGGGGTGTGTGTCAAAAGACAGAAACTTATTTTAACAATGTCCTGCTGGAGCAGAGGATTGGGCTAGATGACTTCCAGGTCCCTTCCAGGCCTGGATTGCTGTGCTCTTTCAAGGTATCCTCTGAAGCTGCATCTAGTGCCAGGTTTGTGGTCCTTCCTCCCTCTCCTCTCTCTCCTTCCTTCCTTCCTTCCTTCCTTCCTTCCTTCCTTCCTTCCTTCCTTCCTTCCTTCCACCACAACCCATGCCCCCCATTTTTGGCCTAGCGTAGGCATCAGGGAAGCCTCCTGGGAACAAAGATGGACCCCAAATGCTAAACAAAAGTTAAAAAAAAAAAGATTCCTACCATAGCTCAGCAGTTGATTGTCGGAACTATTTTTTACTTTGTTAAGCATTTTTTTACTACCAGTTTGGGCAAATGGTAGCAGTTTTTTACTACTGGTTTGGGCGAACTGGCCCAAACCGGTACCATTTCACCCCTGGACTTTTGGCATATTAATTATGCAGGGGTAGATTTGATATGTTTGGATCGTCAGTGGGAATTGGAAACTACCCTGGAAACCTTACCTGTGATTTAGTTTGAACTGACTTTCCTTGGAATTTTCCCCTCATAATAAGCCATAAATATCACTCAAGTTTTATTCTGGGCAATATAATGCTTCTGTATTTCTTAATAAGCCAGAAACCTAAATAATATATGTGCCGTCAGTCAGTTATTTTTGGATTTCTAATATGTGATACCAAAGTGCCTAGTAACACTAGGCCCACACTGCAATGAGATGGGCAATGGGCAAAAAACATTTCATTCATTTATTATTTCATTTATTAAGACTTATAGTCTTAATAAAGACTATATAAGATAGACTTATAGTCTATCTTATTATACAGATAGATGATAGATAGATGATAGATAGATAGATAGATAGATAGATAGATAGATAGATAGATAGATAGATAGATAGATAGATAGATATTTCCAGCAGACTCCATGTCCACCTGAATTTATTAGATTTTAAAGGTGCCATAATGTAAGGCAAACCATAGTCTTAAACATCAGATTTATTTCCAAGATAGTCCTGGATCCCTTACACACCCAGAATATATGCTTGGAAAATACAAACAGCGAAAGGCTATGGAATGGTACTTTATTTGAAAATGTGATTACTTGCCTAAGAGAATGCTAAAAGTAAGCTGTGTGGTGGACAATATCATGAGGACAGCTACAGGAGATTTTTGTAACTGTCCATGTTTCCCATGAGACTACTTTGTAAGAATGACTATGAAGTGATCTCAAAATTTTAAATGTAATCCACTAGGTCATTAAAGTTGAAGATCTCTATTGTTCTTTGGCATTGGGTGGCACTAGCAGCTTAGGAAACATTGTGCAGGTGAAGGAGGATTAGCTTGAACTACATATCGTAAAAACCCATGTCCCATATTCAGTAATTAAACTGAAGCTGAAAGGAGGTCAAATAATTAGCAAGGCAACAAAACATAATCAACAATAAAGTGTTTATAGGAAGAAACATGAAGGTTTTGGAGTATTCTTCACAGATTTCAAAGCTGAATATTACTGAAAGTCTGTGGAAAGATTTTAAACATGCAGTGCATGAGACGGGACCTAAGAATATTTCTGAGCTATAATACTTCTTGCCAAGAATAGTAGAGAAAAGCAAAAATAGATGTTTTCAGTTAGTGGCAGGAAACATTTGAAAAGCTGTTTATTTGCCAAAGAAGGCTTTACAAACTGCTGACTGAAAGAGCATGCAAACTGTTTCATCTGGCATAGTCGTTACTTCCATTTTTTGAATCTCTAAACTAGAGATAAAAGACACCAATCCATTTAACTTCACAGAAAATATGTTTGCCTTTGAACAATGCAGTCTTATTCACTACCAGATTCATTGAAACAGTTTCATTGAAGTACTGTTCAATTAGTGGTGCCTAAATATTTATGGGCAATTCTATTGGTTGTTGCTTTTGTTCACTGGTTAGAGTCACCCTGACTAATGTGGTTATTACATTTATCAATTAAGAAATAAGTTTATTTTGACATAGCATGTTGTATGACCACAACAATTGTATTTTGTTCATCCGGGATTAGGGTTGAGTGAAGGATGTGCCATTCTGTAAGCGTCTTTTTAATCTGCTACTATGGGATAACACATTCCACCCTCTTGACAGGTGAAATACAAGGAAAAATATGAAAAAGAAAGAGGAAAACCCATGCTGGATTTTGAAACACCTACATATATCACTGCTAAAGAATCCCAACACATGCAGAGTGAGGTAGGAGGTCACTAATCAGATATTAGAAAACATCAGCGAGATACTGAATTGTAGTTGTACTGTGTCTAGTCAGTTTAAATCATAAATGTATTCTGAAGGTATTTTTGTAACAGAATGATCATATCTTTCTGTTCATTGATTAAATGACCACCACAGCTTATTTTATGGGTGCCAAATAAAAGCCGAGCCCCTCTGCCCATTCCTCATCCTCAATCTACATCTATACAATTTTATTCCCATTGTTTTGTTTTGAGAATCAGTTTCTCCTTTGCTAGGCTTCTAGACTGCATATTCTTGCCTCTATTCAATTTCATCCCTTTCATACCCTTTCATAGGCATTTCAAAATATGGTTAAATTATTGGAACATGTTCATTCCAATATCAAATCCATGCAAGGTGAAACTTGAGTGTCGTGTTTGATTCTGTCAATTGTTTTCATTCAAAGGAAATATAATATCCAAATGCATGATCTATGAAGTTACTCACTTTAAAAAAAAACTTCCTTGGACCAAGCAATAGCAATAGCAATAACAGTAGACTTATATACCGCTTCATAGGGCTTTCAGCCCTCTCTAAGCGGTTTACAGAGTCAGCATATTGCCCCCAACAACAATCCGGGTCCTCATTTTACCCACCTCGGAAGGATGGAAGGCTGAGTCAACCCTGAGCCGGTGAGATTTGAACCGCTGAACTGCTGATCTAGCAGTCAGCCTGCAGTGCTGCATTTAGCCACTGCGCCACCTTGGCTAACTAGAACAGATTTCTTTACCTGGTGTTTTCTAATATTTTCTAGTGGGTTAGATCAGAAATCCCATCATTCCAAGCATGTTGAGTGAGAACCACTGGACGTGTCATCCCATACATTTTGTTGGCACTGGGTTGCTAAGACTACTACCTGACCAATGATCATTCTGTCCTTTTTGTACAGCCTGCTCCCTAGATACTACAATGTAGAAATTTTGCTTCTCTAAAAGCCAGATGTAGGTATTATTGCTTTCAAGTACATACTGTGTTTCCCCAAAAACAAGACAGGGTCTTATTGTCTTTTGACTTCTGAAATAAGCACTTGGCCTTATTTTCGGGGAGGTCTTATTATTTTTGAAGTGCAGGAGGTGGCAATCGTGGTCACCTCATGGCTGCTGCTGTGTTGCAATATTTTCAGGGAGGGCTTACTCTTGGGGGAGGGCTTATTTTAGCGCATGCTCAAAAGCCCAATTGCGCTTATTATCCGGGCAGTCTTATTTTCAGGGAAACAGGGTAAAATATTAATTTATCATGGGTTAGGACAATGAAAAACATTAAACCTTTCCCAAATGGCACAAAAAGAAAATTGGATCCATAATTAACTAATTGTCACATCAATTTAAAAGGTATGAAAATTATTTTAACAATACCAAAATTAATTCTATTTCTTCTTTCTTCCCTTTTTTCCTCTCCCTTCTTCTTCCAACTCCTATTAGAAAGAATATAAGAAAGATTATGAAGAGTCCATTAAGGGCCGGAATCTTATGGGTTTGGAGGTTACACCATCTTCACTGCATGTCAAATATGCTACTAAAATAGGAAATGAGGTACCAACTACTCTTCTGACTTATGCAATGGAAATTGTCTCCCACAAAGTAGACCCTTCGCTGTTCTCTTTGCCATGCTTAAACTTTAATTTTAAGTTTAAAAGTTAATTTTTGATTTCCTCCCTTAATTTTAGTTTTAATTATAAGCATGATTTAACTGATGCCTTTTTTTTATCTTTATCTTTTAAAAATTTGTCCTATTGATGGAACCAATGAGAACTGTCTCATTATATATACCTTTGTGTGAATTTTTAGGTAGAGTTAATGTAACAAGAGATGCATGTTTAGAAGGCAAAAAACAACTATTTAGTCTAGGAATTATTTCCTAACTCTTTTGGTTCTCTTTTACCTTTTCCCCTCTCATTGATTTCCCTTTGTCTCCTACTTACTTATCTCTTTTGATTTATTTTCTTGTTTTCTCTCCTTTAGAAAGAATACAGGAGAGATTTAGAAGAAGGTGTAAAAGGCAAAGGCCTAACTCTTCTAGAAGAGACACCAGATTTGCTTAGAGCAAAGAATGCAACCTATATCTTGAATGAGGTGAGGCCTATCACTAGGTGGAATAAAGTTTAGGAATATGGAAATGAGATTTCTATGGAGTATTATAATGCTTAGTACTGGTCTGTCCATTTCATAGTTTTGTGTTCATCATGCTTTCAGACAGAGAAAGGACATTTTTCCATTTCAGTTTCTAAGTATTTGGATTATAAATTACACTAATAAAAGGGACACGGTGGCTCAGTGGCTAAGACACTGAGCTTGTCAATCAGAAAGGTCAGTAGTTTGGCGGTTTGAATTCCTAGTGCCTTGTAACTGAGTGAGCTCCCATTACAGAAGTCCCAGCTTCTGTAATGGGTTCGACAGCATGTAAAAATGCAAGTAGAAAAATAGGAACCATCTTTGGTGGAAAGGTAATAGCATTCCGTGTGCCTTTGGCATTTACTCATGCTGGCCACATGACCACGGAAATGTCTTTGGACAGTTCTGGCTCTTTGGCTTAGAAACGGAGATAAGCACCACCTCCTAGAGTCGGGAACAACTAGCACATTTGTGCAAGGGAACCTTTACTTTTACCTTAATAAAAGTGTAAAAATGCATATAACAATATTAAGAATCAACACAAAATTGATAGGAAAAGGAAGGAAGTTTTACTACAAGAAAGAACTTGTAAGAACTCCAAGAAACAGATCATATTTTTGAAAGTCTTCTTCATTTCTCTTGTCAAAAAAGACAAATTTAAATATTGACAAACAATAATATTTTGCCCCTCCTTTTATTATTTATTAATAACTTCAGAATTTCTGATTATGCAGGCTAGCAGTTCTAAAGCAAAATTAAAAAGAAAAGAAAGCATTTTGATAGAGATTTAACCAAGGGAAAGGAAATAATCAACTGGGATTTAAACATTAATAAATTATATCCAAACTATAAAAACTTTGTGGGGACCCAAAATAAATCAAAACCCACAGCAAAAGCTACCAAGAGACCACATGAAGGCTTTCTTACTTCCCAAAGTGATTATAGTTGGTGGATGCTGAGTCATTTGAGTTAAAAGAAGAATATCTATTGAAAAACCAATATTGTCAGAAGTTTGATGGCCCTGTTTACACCCAGCCTGAGCTGTATTCTGTAATTTGCTCATAAAGTAGCTCATAAAACCTAACATCCACATTTATTAAGGAAATAGTTCTAGAATGGGAACAGATTGCCTGGTTTGGGAATAAACGATGTTTGTTTTATAAAAAAATTAAAGGCAGGTATTTGCGTGAAAAAGTTTTATTACAGACTCCTCATAAAATTGGAGACAGAAATCCAATCAAATGGAAAATCATCCTAATCAATAGTCACTTCCCAGAATTGTAGTGATAATTTCTTGGGGAAAAAAAGGTACTTCAAAGAGTTGTTCTTTGAACTTCTTTATAAATTATTTATAAATTATTTCTGAGTAACATTTGATAAGTTGAAAGCAAAGATGGCCAAAACCCAATAAGATATTGAAGATTCTTCTCATGAGCAATAGTTCTCACATTTTTAATCTTTTTTTTTATTGTTGAATTTCCTTGGTAAAAGCTGGAAAAGCTGGATACTTAAAAAAAAAACCAGTTAACCATACATAGTGAACCAACTGACCTTTCTCTTCCAATGGCATCCTATATCCTGAAGAGGTTTAATTCATTGATTATGGATAATCCTCCTGGTCCAATTGAATTCCCATGATCTTGCAACTAAAATACTCTGTTTTCAGCCAAATCCATTTTGAAATGTTTAGTACCAACAGGGTTGTTAACAATGGTTAACATCTTCTGTAACCTCGAGGAGAACAGTCATCACCTTATTCTTTGCAGCTGCCAACAGTGACACATTAAGGAGACAAAAGATGTGTCAGAACTTCTTGAGGGCACCACTGAGGCAGATAACGAACAAGCTCTCTCCAACAATCAAAAGACACAACAACCATCTTCTTTTGGCTCCGATAACAGCTGTTCATGTACCAAATAAGCAATGATCTGGATATAAATTCTAGCAAGATGATGAAGACAACATACTTCCACATATTTTAAAGCCCATCTTTTTAAAAAAATCTGTGCACAATTTCCACAAATTTATGCATTTTTTGGCCTGACGTTTTCTCTAATTGGTACATCACAGAACTATTCATGGATGGATCTATGAATTACACAGTCATATTAAAATAGGAACCAGGTGATTTTCACTGCAATCACATTATGCATTTTAAAATTATTTTAAAATAATTTTAAAAAACTAGAAAATGAGGTCAATAGTACATTTAACCATTGGTTTTGAATTGATCTTGCATACATTGAATTATTTTCTTGGGAATTAAGCAGAAAGGAAAAGATTGGCTAGTTACTACATTTACCTTTTTCAGGTTTGTGGCCTCATTAATTTAGTGGATTCAGGATAAATTAGATATTTCTTACTGAATTCAAGAAACTAATTAGCTTACAGTATCTTTTTTTAAATTTCTCTAGTATTTCACAGTAATTTCTAACCAATCTATACTGATGTCTTGTATAAAGTATTCAGGGTTTAGTGTCTTCCCAATGCAACAAGATAATTTAGGTTCTTCATTTGAATTCTTAATTTTTTTTCCTCTATACATTCTTAATTATTTTGGTTGACATGCCTTCTGAAGCCAAATTAAAATATTATATCACCTAAATAATTATATAGTATATTAAATTGAAGATGTTGTAAAAGATAACAATGTTTGCCAAAACTAATCCCACATATAACTACCGGTATTATTATTTTTATTTAATTAGATGTTATCTGATTTGTAATTCAATTTGATCAATACATGATTCTGTAATCTGACTGAAATGAGGAAGATTCGTTTCTTCCTGGACACATTTTTCTGAAAAATTTCTTGAAATGAGATCTATGAACAGCATAACTAGTCAGATCTCATATCACATTGCAAGATTAAATGTTTCTTCCATAAAATAGATTGCTCTTCCTTCCATTGTACATTTACACGAGCAGGTTACATATCAAGATAACCTTTGGAGGATTGGAGGGTGAATTTCATTTGGAAACAAGCTGTCTGATATATTTTTGTATCTGTCTTTATCCACAGAAAGAATACAGGAGAGCTCTGGAGATGGAAATGAAAGGAAGGGGACTAACAGATCTTGCATTGGAGACACCTGATTATATGAGGGCAAAGAATGCCACAGATATTGCTAGTGAGGTTAGTGATTAATGTACATCATTTGATTTACTGCTGTATTAAATCAACAAAAAGCTATATCTGTAAATTACTTATTCTGGATATTTCCTCTGAAATGTTTCTCTCAACAGTTTAAATATAAGCACTCTGCAGAAATGGAAAAAGCCAATTATACCACAGTTGTTGACACTCCAGAAATCATCCATGCACATCATGTGAAGAACTTTTCCAGTAAGGTAATGATGGCCCTGCAGATGGAGGTGAACTCCAGCTCCCAAAAGCCTTAACCAGCCTGATAAATAATGTGATACAGAGGGCCCTGTCTGTGTGATCTTGAGAGTCCACTGTAAATCCTTCTAATAAGTGTAAGGTACTCTACACTGTTGGACATTTTGCTCTGATTTTCACTTTAACTGGTGACTTTGCTTTCATTTTGCAACCATTTAAATATAGAACAAAACAACTAGTAATTAATGGAAAAATTTATATAGGTTTCAAAGCAGTGAATGGTAACCATAGATCACATGCCCCTAAAATCTCTTTTCGTGCCTTTAGAGTAGGGGTGACAAACTCTCATCCCGTGGGCTGGATGCGTCACACACTGGCCACGCTCACCCCCAGTTTAGCGAAGGGAGGAAAGTTGTGATATATCACATGGCGACAATGTGACGCCACAAGTTTGACACCCCTGCTTTAGAGTATAGCTGAATTTCTCAGTCAACTGCCAATAATCAAAAGTACAATTTCTCACTTTTTTTTTTAGCAGAAATGCATTTAGTAAATGAGTTTCATTCTTCTTTAGCGCTTAACAATGCCCTTAAAAAAGAAAATAACAACCCAACCTTCCAAAATCCGTTATTTTTCTTCCATCCCCAAATCCAAACATGGGCTATTTCATGACACTACATCTTACTATCTGTGGCTCTCAACTTCCCCCATTTTTTAAAATCCACTTCTGACAACCAACCCTTTTGTCTACACTTCTCAAATGAATACTTAAATCGTAAAATCTATAACCAGAATGTCCTTGCTTCTAAAGTTAACAGATAGTTTTTGTTTCTCCTCTCAGAAGGTAATACTTTCCAAGTATTTTCTTAAAAAAACATTATTTAGCTTGCTTAGTCTATGGACTAGCTCACATTTGACAGATGCAATCTAGAAAGTGCAAGCCCAAGCTATCAAACTTTACAAATGTCCTTATTATACCTGTAGACAATGTTTATCATGCATCTGCTCTTATTTATAAAGCATTTCTGTTTTAGTCATTGAAAATTGACTAATTGATTGACTTTGTGCCATCAGGTTGGTGGTGACTCTTCGTTAAAATGTTTTTATTTTCCATTTTTCATTTTCATACACTCACATATATACTGTGCATAGCCGGGGCCATACAACATTAAACAATAATCACAGCAATTCCTCTTGTCGACAATATCCCCCAAAATAGAAACCCAATATACCTCTTCCACTCTCCATACACCTCTTTCTTCCGCCCCCCTCCAACTTTCTATCTTCCCTCCATCATTCCCCTCTACCCTACTTCCCCTCCCCCTCTACCACTCCTCTCTCCCAGTCCACTCCCTCCCTTCCGTCTCACCCTCCCTCCCATCCTCCCTCCCGCCCTCTCTACCCATCTTTCTTCTATCCCACTCCTCCTCCCCTTGGTGTATTTCTACTATATGTCAATATACTCAACTTGTCCTATTTTTACAGAGAAATTAAAGAGAAACAGTATACATGTGAAGTCGCATTACATTGAAATCTAACACATGGTATATATCCCCCCTCCCCTCACCCTCCCCCCCCAACACCCCACCTCCCTCCCCCCCCGACTTCCCAGAGCCCGTACACGGTATAGATTTTTAACAAACACAGTCTAAAATATATTGGGGGAAAAAGAAATAGAAAAAAAAGAGGTTAATAACATCTCTACATTGATCTTAGCTTCTTCTTGCTACACTAACTTTGAACAGTTTAAATCATTCCTGATCTTAAGCATAGGCTATCTGGAATTTCTTAGTCCCGTATTTATTTTGTATATAGTCAATCCATTTTTTCCAGTCTCGTTTATATCTCTCATTTGAATGATCTTTGAGATATACCGATATTTTAGCCATCTCGGCTAAGTTTGTAACTTTCAATGTCCATTCTTGAGTTGTAGGCAAGTCTTCCTTCTTCCAGTATTGCGCCACCAACAGTCTTGCTGCCGTTATTAGGTGCAGAACCAAGTTGGTCTCTACCGCTGTAAAGTCAGTACATATACCTAGTAAAAATAAATGAGGAGTAAACTTTATCCTTTTTTTAAAGATATTTTGCATAATCCACCATATTTTTATTCAAAATGCCTTAACCTTTTGGCAGGTCCACAATATATGAAAATATGTAGCATCGAGAGAACCACACCTCCAACATTTAGGCTAAATGCCATCTATAGAACATCTTATAAAAATTCTCTCTCAGGTTTTGAGTTTGTGTAAATTTCACATTTCTTACCCATATTCTTTCCCATGTATCCAACATTATTGGTTCTTCAATATTTTGAGCCCACTTTATCATACAATCTTTAACTAATTCTGTCTCCGAATCCATCTGTATTAATATATTATATATCCTCTTTATATGCATTAAGCTTTGATCTCTTATTTGTTTAAATAAATTATCTTCAACTTGGATAAAACCAAGGTTGGTGGTGACTCTTAATTACCGTGTAAATAGATATTCTCCATGATGATCTATTCCCTAACTTGGACTTCAGGACTTCCAATAGCGCATTTTGTCACTAGTGTAAATTAATCCTACATCTTGCTTCTGATTGTCCCTGTCTTCTTTTTCCCTTCAACTTTCTAAGCATCAAAGCCTTCTCCATACTTCTCATAGTATGTCCAAAGTATGGCAATGTGAGCCTGGCCATTTGAGCCTCAACTGAGAACTCTGGATAGAGTTTGTTTTATTTCTGTGGTCACTTTGCTATTGTCCCAAGATAACAAAAAAATTGTATGTGTCTCTGCATGAGTATTTGTTTTGTTACTGCAATAGTACATATTCTTTTTTTTTAACCTATGTAACAGAAAAAGTATAAGGAGGATGCAGAGAAAACCATGCCCTACTATGTGTCTGTGCTAGAGACTCCAGAAAATCAGCGGGTCCGAGAAAATCAAAAGAATTTTAGCATGGTATGTATACATATACTCATGAATTCCAACAAAGAAAGCAAGCAAACAATGCTACTCCTGAAAGGCAATTTTCCTTTCCTATATTAGATATTAAGCCTAATGGATAGAGAACATTTTTAATCTGAAATATTTTGAGCCTTAGCTACCTGCTTTGAGTTTGAAATAAGTTGCTCATACCTTACAAGAAACATGTCTGATGCTGTTCTGACTATGATGACAAAGTCCCATGCTGAAAATTGCCAGTGATGCTAATCATGTAGGTAAAGAAAAAGGACACAGATTCCGGGTATTTTTCAGAGATACTTCCCACTCTCTCTAAGGTACATTCTTGATTATTGCTTTGCTGAGCAAGAAACTTAAAACTTTCCTTAAACTTAAAATAACTGAACCTTTCTCGGTTATTTTCAAAACAAGTCCAACTGAGATTGGAGGGTTTAGTTACAAATAACTTAATAGAATTTGTCGAATAACTCATGAATTCATGAATGCATAATACTTAATAACTTACCAATATTTGACTACATTTGATACTGTATTTTGAGTGACCTTTGTTCATGCTGCTGTAAATGTATTTCTCATATATCTTCATCAGTTCTATAACACTATAAAGCATTATGTTATGAAATGGTATATAAATCCAAGTCCTGTTGCTATTACTGACATTTTAAAAAGTCAGTCTGGAAGCAAGAAGACAATGTCAACATGGAGAGTTGACAACTGAGTTCTTCCTGGGGGAATCCTGCACAGCAGCAATAAGTTTTTGTCTCTCAGGCTGTTTCTTAAATAAACTTCAGAAATTCCAATCCAGATTACATTGGGTTGGCAATGGGGTTGGGATTGTACTCAGTCCAGAGATTATGGCCAGATTGGTCTTTCCTCTGCTTCTTGACTTTCTTATCTGCACAAGGGAGGCAGGGCTTCCTGGGTGTTTCTCAATGGACCACTCTACCAGTGCCTGCTTTTTCTTTTGTGGGATTATTCCCAGCAAAATGGCTTCACAGGACTGGAGGGCAGGGATGTGCTAGGAACTACAGCCAATCAGAGCTGGGCTGCTCCTGAAGTGGAATAAAACTCTGGAAGCCATCTTCTCTCAAGGACTTCAGAAGGCTCAGATTGGAAAACAGCAGCTTTGAATCAAAGCTGGGAAACGAAGGTGCAAGGGGCATTTGCAGAGAGCTGAGAGTAGGAGGAGGAAGATGTCACCTCTTCTTGCCCTCAGGGAGCAATGAGTGGCCAAGCGGAAATCTGTTTTGAGATTAATGCACTGAAAAACATGTATTCTCTTAACAGCTTCAGTATCAACATGATCTGCAGGACAGTAAAGGAAAGGTCACTGTTGTAAATGAAACACCAGAAATATTACGAGTAAAAGAAAACCAGAAAAATTTCAGCTCGGTAAGTTTATATTATTTAGCAAATGATTGGTCCCCAGTTGGTTAACACATTTCAATCTTTTTATTAATACCAATAAAACCTCTTGACAATAGACAGTTAAGAATCCAGTTATGCACAAGTGAAAGCCCTTCCTCCCTCTCCTCCCTCCCTCCCTCCCTTTCCTTCCTTCCTCCTGTTCCTTTCTTCCTTCCTAATTCAAAAGACCCACATTTGGATCCAGAACTTAGCCCTGAGTTAGCGATAAGGGATTTTAACCCACTCATTGTTTACAGTGTGATATGACCTAAAGAGCTGACCCACAAACATGCATGTTTTTGGCAAAGTAAATCAGGGATGGACAGTTGAAACCACCATCTTCCCACACTGGAATTCTAGAGTAAAAAGATGTAGCTGTTACAGCCATTTTTAGAATGGTTTGATGTTCAACTTTTATGAAACAAAGTGATAGGGTGAGGGAAAAGGGTTAGTACCACTTTCATTTTAAAGGGAATTGTAGTTGCCCATCAGGAATGGGAAACCAATCACCTTCCAATAATAATCACTTTGTTGCTGAACTACAACTACCAGCAGCCTCTGCTAGATTAGGCAATGGAAATGGATGCTGGGTTTTATAATAAAGTCAGAAGAGCCACATGTTGCCAACTTCTGCCTTATGCTCTTTTTCTTTTAACATTTTTTTAGTAATGCAATAACTTGAGTACAACATACATGGCAATAATATTTTGACATATCTCCGTATCTTTTTACGGACCTTTCTGGGTTCCAAAATTGTAAGTTTCATATGTTTTCTTTGAGCAGCTAATCCAGGAATACCATGAATAAATATTTTGAGTTTATTCGAAAATTTAAAATTCTTAAAGAGCTCCAAGGGGTAACTATTGTCATTTCGAGATGTTAACCAAAGTAACTTTATGTCTTTATTAACCAAAGTGTTTGACCAAGAGAGGTAGTTCTCTGTTAAAAACTTCATGATTTATTTTCAATACCTGTAGTTTGAAGCTTGCAGATCCTATCAAATCCTTGCCTACCTCAGCCTTATATAATGAATAAATATTTTTCCCCAAAAGCTATTATTAAAAATCAGAAAAAACCTGCAGAGCTTCATTTGGCATAACTGTGAATAGAATTTATATTTTGCTCATATATTTGCAAATGTATGTCTTTGTTTTCAGGCTATAAAAGCTAAGATTCTTACCTTAAAGGTTAAAGAGGTATATCCGCATATCCTTGTTTTTACTGGTCTAATTTCTTTCTCCTTATATTGCTTGAAATGATAAACACTAAGTGGTTTCTCCATACAAACCTCACTAGTATAGTTGACACACAAATCAGATTGGGAATAATTATTGATTTATTTATTGAAATAGATATTGTGATGCTGTTTCTATTTTTATTGAAATAAATGTTCTGGTGTTTTGTAGTGCTGCTGTAGAAGTGACAATATGTCTTTCTATGCTTGATCTTGTTTTCCTTTAGGTTTTATATAAAGATACCATTGGAACAGGAACAGCAATTGAAAAAACACCAGAGACACAGAGAATTAGAAAAACCACAGATGCCATTAGCACGGTAAAAAAATTAAAATGTTTTTTTTTTAAACACACATGTTCTTTGCTGTTTTAATTTATAAAATTGAGTGTCATTTATGCTAATCTTAGACTTAGTATGGAATGGAATTAAAATATAATTAGATTGGAAATGAAAGGGATAAATACTCATTGAAGCAATATTTTTTGCTTTACTTGAGAATATATTCAGCAAAACCAATGAAGTTGAATTTGGAGAAACTGAACCCAATCCATAATTCTTACTTTGATCCAGTTTTTTATAAAGTTTTTTATTTTTTCATTTTCATAACATATAATCACATGTATACTATTACATAGTCAACATAGTATTATATTATTAAATGTTTACATCAATTCATCTTACCATCAACTCCCCAAAACAATTGTTGGCTCTTCTGCTCTCCATACACCATATGTACCTTACCCATCACTTTCTTCTCCTTCTCTCCTCCTCCTCCCTCCTCCCTTTTTCCCTCTGGTCATCCTTCTCTTCTCTACTTCCCCTTCCTCTCTCCTTCTCCTCTCTCCCCTTTCCACTCTTCCTTTCTCTCCTCCTCTCCCCCCCTTGCCCTCTCTCCTATCTCTCCCTTACCTATCTCCCCTACTTCCCACTCTTCATCTCCTTTACTTGGTATATTTCAGCTTCTGAGCAAGCTCCATTTTATGTTGATGGTATTTATAATTCCTTTTCAATATACATATTTAATTTTAACATATATCTTCCTCTGTGAAGGAGAATGTTTATGGGAAATAAAGCAAGATCAAAATGAAGAACCTGTTGTCAACCCTGAAGCTGGCCTGACTGAGGCCATTTTGGGAGTTCAGTGTTAACACACTGGAGAAGAGGGATAGGGAGGGGGGAACAGAGATGGTTGGGGTGTTGTAGTCAAAACAAAATACTTTCACTTGGGAACCAAGGACATTTCTGCAGGTGTTTGGAAGGAGGGGACTGGAGTCACATAGCAACTGGACAGTATTCTGATTGGACCATTTGACTGGTTGTTTTGAGAAACTGACAAACTTTTTCTTCAATTAGGTGAAAGCTGCAGGAATACTCAGAGTCAGTTTTCACCAGCCCATGCCAATATGACATATCCAATAAACCTATTATTTGAGAAAATTGCCTGCCCCAGAGTTTTTTGTTGTTGTTGTTATGGGTGTGTTACTTGGAACCCTGACACCTGTGGCCTTCCATTGGTTACTGCAGCTACCAGCAGCCGTAGCCATCATGACCCAAAATAAAGATTGTTAGGAGCCTTAATCCAGCATGGTTGAATTAATCATGGATCCAAACATGGTTGGATGACCACGAGTTCCTTAGTTATGAGGTAGATCATTTATACTATGGCAACCTTTCTCAATCTGGTGTTATGCAGTTCATATAATTTTATAACTAGCTTATTTGAATCTATCTGGGTTACATTCAGGCAAGAAAAAGGTTACTTTAAATGTTAAAAATAAAATAATTTCATAGTTATGGTTAAATCAAATTGCTTCTAGTGTGAGAATTTCTTCCACCCAGGAAATGGACTTCTGTTTAATTATCTATATTTACTTGAGTGTTGTTTCCTAACTTTCTTCTGATAAGGGATTTTTCACTAGAGTGCATGTTAAGTTTTAAGGTTCCACAACTATATAAACTTTCAGTGATAATTGTTTTCTCTGTTCTCATAAGTGAGATGAGAATGGATATGTATGTCTCTTGTATATGACATCATTTTTTTTGTCTTTCTTTTGAATGCAATTTTGTAGATTAAGTACAAGGAGCACATTGGCCAAGGAACTCCCATTTCTGACCTTCCTGAAGTAAAACGGGTCAAGGAGACGCAGAAACACATCAGCTCGGTAGTGGCTAAAATTTTCTTTCTCTTTTAATAATGAGCTGGCCAATTATGACATGCTGTTTTTCACCCAACTAAGCTGCTGTTTATTCCTCTTGTTAACATGTACTAATATCATCTCCTGTATTTTTAGTGGATGTTCTTCTCATTGTATTCCATCTTAAAGTTCCATTTGCTTTGCTAACCTTTGTATACAAACCTTGAAAGGAGAATATAAGTGTATTAATGCTGAACTGATGAGGATGAGACATAAGTTGGTTTCTCAGATAGAAAAATACAAATGGGGATGAATGGGATGGAATTAAAAATATAATGACAAAGTAATTGATGAGGTACTTCCTATAAAGCTATTCTAAAACTTGCCATTTGCCTAAGGCAAGTAGCTTCGACTTCCTATAAGCAGGGATGTTTAGTATGTTTGACAGGTTTCTGGATATATTTAGAGATAACTGGGCACAATCCTAATACAATTACATTAATGTTTATTCATATCTGTTTTCTTAGCTTGTGAAGTATGCAATTTAGCTTGCTTATTTGTTTGTGGTGATCTGATTCCAGGCTTTAAATTAGCTTTTGCAACGTACCTCTTGAAATCCGAGGTTAGAAATTAAAGATTTGAGAGTTAGAAATTCTAAATAATTCATCACCCTTTACTGCACTTAATTTTCTAGCTTTTTCTGTCAGGTAATCAAATCAAATTACATGGAGAAAAATCTATTTATATGATCACAAGTTGCTGGAAACAACTTGATGGTACATATTCAATCAAATCTTAATTGGGCACACATTGGGTAGTATAGACCAGTGGTCCCCAATCTTTGCGGCTTGGTGACCTGGTTGTGGGGAGTAGAGTGGAATCGGACTGCATGGGCAGTGGCCTGGAGGGCATGAGTGCATGCAACTCTACTCACACGAATGGTGGGGCAACACTCATGCCTACCACTCACACAACTTAGTTGTGAATAGGCCATGGCCCACTAATAGGCCCAAGCCCAGGGTTTGGGGTTGACTCCTGGTATAAGCCATTAGGATGATTATTAGAAATATTAGAAACAGGTTATTAGAAACAGTTCAATAATCAGTACAATTGTCAACTCATAAAGTTGCCATGGTGAGGAAAGGGGACAAGCGTATTCCATGCATACCTTCAGCTAGAGTCAGATCTCAGATTACTACAGCAGGCTTGTGAGGAATGAACCTCGATGGAGAATGTGATTTATGACACAGATTGAGGGGAGGGAAGGAACAGGGGTAAAGTTCAGCCACAATTCAAATGAGGTTTAGATCTGATTGCAATAGGGTATTGCCAAAATTGTGCTTCTAATAAATGACTGGTTTTCTTTTGAAACTTGGCTCGAGATTCATGAGTCAATTAGGGCATCTTTTGGAAACCTGACAACAATATTGTTCCCCAGTTTTACCTGGAAAATAAGGCAATTATGGCTGACCATGAAGCTTCCTTCATTTGAGGGCTGTTTAGTTAGTAAACAATGTAATGTCTCTGAAGAAACCATAGCATTTCACCCCTAGGTATTGTCTTCTCCTTTCTTGTTTTCTATACTGTCCACTTTGCAGTGGAGGGGTCAGAAAAGTCAAGATACATGGCACACAGTTCAGTTTTTAAAATTATTATCATTATTACAGTTGGTCATACAGTCAACAAGTTGTTTAGGCTGAATTTGGCATTTTTCTCACCTATCAGGTCCTTACCAAGGATTAATTTAAATTTATTGTAGTCACCCAACTCTAATGGATTCTACTTGTATGATCACAGCCAGCATCTTGAATTTTTTTGCCTGCCCACCTCCTTCCCCATCCATTTGACTAAACTTTTCACCAATGAATTAGTTTTAAAATATATTTTTACAAAATCTGGTTTCACCAGACCCGTACGTTATATTTCATGTTCTAACTTCAGATTTATGTTATTTGTTTTTGGATTTTTTCAACTGACTGAATACTTGATTCTAATTATAATTTTTGTATGTGAGGAAATAAGCATCTTTTTTTGAAAGGAGTGAAATGCAGGACTTTTTTTTTTTTTAATGGGAGGACTTGGTGTTCTTTTTTCTCTTTTTTTCATTTTTTTAAAAAGAAAATAAAAATGTGTAAGACCAGTTTGATATTATGTTGAATCTTGAACATATGTGCTTCTTTAAAAAAAAAACAACCTTGGGCTGATATTATGTTAAAGGATGTTAAAGTTGAAACAGAGCTCTTATTAATTCAGGTAATTCAAATCTGATTCAAAAGGAACTTTCCAGATATGGGCTTCCCAAATTATTTATTTATTTGTTGTTATTATTATTATTATTATTATTATTATTATTATTAATTATTAATTATTATTATTATTAATAATAATAATGTGAATTTTATAGTTTCAAGCTTTTGTGATCCCTTCTCCCCAGCTGGTGACTCATGAAAGAGTTTTAAACAGACTGTTCAATGGAATACAGATCATTATCATTTAGCAACTACAACTGGGACTGCAACTCAGTTGTTAAGTAAAGTTGTCACTAAGTGAAACATGATTTTACTATTTTATTTCAGCTTTCCTTGGCCTTACAGACCTGAAAAAGTTGTAAATGTGAAGACTGGTCCCAATGTTATATTTTCATCACAGTCGTAACTATGACCAGCCACTAAACAAGACAATTACTAAACAAGAACCTCCCCCCCCCCTCATTTAGTCATGTCCAATTTTTGGAGACTACTTGGACTAATCCTTGCAGTTTTCTTGGCAAGATTTCAGATGTGGTTTGCCGTTACCTCCTTTCTAGGGCTGAGAGAAAGTGATTGGTCCAAAGTCCCACTGGCTTTGTGCCTAATGTATGACTAGAATTCATGGCCTCCCAGCTTCTGTCAGGCACAAGTCTCCAGGAACAGGAGTTTAGTTCAAAGCACTTCAAGTTTATTACCTATACATAAGAATCTGATCTAATGGTGAAGGCAAATTGGCACTAAATAAGAGTCAATAGAATTCACAGGTGGTTGGATTTAGGTCTCATGTGGGAGCACAGCGATTCCAAACCAATGATGCTTGTGATTCCATCTTTGGGTTCCACCTGGTCATCTACGACAATTTCTAAATGGGTGTCTTAACCACTACACCAAGCTGGACTACCTGTACTAAAAAGTACAGTATTTCCATTTATATCATTCCTTTCTGAAACAACATGTAGTCTTTTCAAAAGAGAGTGGAAACATTTCTCACAGTGCAACTGGGTGTATGGGTATGTGTACATTCATATACGAAAAAAGTGTGTTAATCAACATTTGCATTGCGCCCTAGCAGTTATCTGATTTCTCATGTTGGTGGGTGTTTGTATTCTGCAGGTAATGTACAAAGAGAATGCAGGGCAAGGAACTGCAATATCAAGTACTCCAGAAATAGAGAGAGTCAGACGCAATCAAGAACACATTAGCTCGGTATTTCTCAATAAAATCACATTTATTTTAACAACTTATATTTTTTCTTTTTTTAAAAAAAATAATCTCTAACTATCCTACTCTATTTTCTACTATCTCTGATTTTTTGTGACTCATCTCCCTTCCTAACGTTTAACTAATGAAAAACTTTATGCATCATAAAATAAGTTTTTTTTAAAAATAAAACAAAATGTAATAAACAATTTGCTCCCATTCAATTAACACAGTGTTCCCCTTCCATATGCTTTCCTTAACCTGCGATGTCATTGAAATATTTAATGAATAATATTCTATTTCTTTTAGCCTTTTCTCTTTGTGGCAGTAGTTCAACCATAGGATTTAACCATGCGCTGTTACTACTTACTACCAAATTCAGTTCTGGTTATTGCACTTCTTTGTTGGGGTCTTTTGTGGAGACTTTATTGTACCCTCACAGGTGTCTTACAAAGAACAGGTGGGCACAGGAATGGCAACTCCTGTTACACCAGAAATGGAGCGAGTCAGACGTAATCAGGAGAACATTAGCTCGGTATAGCTCAAAATATTTATCAATGCATAATTTTAACTGCCATGACCTTGTGCTAACTTTCCTTTTAATTTAAAACCCTCCATGAGATTTTGACAATCTCTTTCTCTTCATTTTAATCCCATCATGAGACATGGACAATTAAAGCACTAATTATTTTTGTTTTGCAGTGATTTTTAACTTCTTCTTTTCACCATACTCCTTTCCTCTCTTCCTTCCCCTTCTCAAAAAAAACAATATGATTTGCCTTAAACAAATATATTCAGAGTGCTTTCCCTTTGCCTTTATAACAGGAAATCTTTCTAATAGTTTTTGGCATCCACGTGTTGGTGCAATGCAAAGTTACAATAACACTTTGATCCTAACCAATGAGCCTCAACAACTATTGTAAACTGTTCTTTTATTGCTAATCTTTATTTCTGTTAATGAAGGTTTGAGGTAATTTGTGATTCTGGACATGAAAACAAGAGTACAATTATATGCTTCCAAGTTCCAAATTTCGGTACTAAAGTCCATATGTACATATTTAAATGCAAACATATGCCAATAACCCCTTACTGCAATTAAATTGGGATAATTATTCCACTGGATTCCAGTATTTCTTTATCTATCCTGTAACTTCCAAATCCTTTCTCACTCCTTCAATCCTATCTCACTCCAGAGAAGGAATAGCATAGCTGTCACTTTTGTAGTAACAACTACTCCATCTCCATGTAGTACTCCATGGAGTAGTTGTTTATAGCTTTCCTTTATTTAACCGAAGAACATGAGGCTGAAGAATCAAGTCCAAGCTTTAGATTCTAAAAAGGCTACCTTTTTGTCCCCTATTCATAAAAACACATGAATCCTTCAACTTGGCAATCAAGAGAATTCAGTTTCAAATATATTTAAGTTGTCAAGGATGTAGGCAAATAAAAGTGTCTGTGTGTTTGGTGATGGGGGTTATTGCCTATGAATGGTCATATGACCACAGATCACAACTCACCTCCAAGAAGAGGCCTTCATATTCCAAGACTACATCAGAGAAGACATAGTCTGATCAACCCAAAATGAATTCTGATTGGGTGTCCCCTTCCTTCATAAGGGAGAATGAAAAGAAACTATTGAGGGTTTAAAGTATTCCTAAAATATTAACTACATCATATTATTTGAATGCAATTAAGTTATAATCTTGGGTGGGCTTTCATATCTAATTTAGCAGTAGGAATACTTTTTAAGATTTAAGATTAGGGTTTATTTTTAAGAGGATTTTCAAACTTCTTAACTTCATGAAGAAAACTTATTTCATGAAGAAAATTGCACCGAATTGCTTTTCTGTGCTAATTTTATTTTACGGATATATTTCTTCTTACACAGGTATTATACAAAGAGAATTTAGGGTCTGGAACTCCAACAACTATTACTCCAGAGTTGGAGAGAGTCAGACGCAATCAAGAAATCTATAGCTCGGTATTTTTGTAGTTAAAAATGCCCTTTAACTTTATTAAAATGGAATTAACTATTACAAACCTTGATATTACTCATTCCAAGTAACATAAAATACTCATTTTTAAAACAAACAACCATTTGTTTTAGTAATTGAATCATTCAATTACTGACTTTTTTTGTTGACTTGATTTTTATTTCTTTAATGATGGTATATGTATTCCCAACTCATATTGATAGTTACTGTGAAAAGTATGGGAAGTAGATCAAAATAACAACAAAATTTTGGATCTGTAAACATAGGCTTCAATCCAGCAAAAATTAAATGAAATTATTTTTTATTGAAAAAGTAAAGCTTATACTTAAGTCTTTAAGTATAAGTAAGAGGAATTAAATGCTTTTAAGGGGGGGAAATTTGAGAAAGTCCAGTTGCCTTTTGGAAAAAGGACCTTTGTGTAGGCACTTTACATTTATGATTCTGTGACAGTTGTCAGCCAGGTTTTAAGGAATAGTCTTAAAGAATCATGGGCCAAATTATGCTATATCTTTTCAAATTTTAGTTCAGCTCAAAGATCTTCAGTAAAAGTTCAGCTTTGTACTTCAAATAGCACAAAGTTCTCTTTTGACCTCATTCAAATTATCATTTGAATCTTGATTAGCTGCTACATATAATTCACTGATCAAAATAATATCAAATCTATCAATATAGTTAATTTTCCAATGAATTTATTTTGTATTCTAATAATCTGGAATATTGTTAACTTTTTTTGCTGTCCCTGAAATATTGTTAACCATCTGGAATACTATTCTGACTCTGCTTTTCTTTTTTTAACTTCTGTGATTCTTTTTAAAAATCATTTATTTAGCATAACTTAAATTGTAAAAAGAATACGGTCTAAATCTCCAATTGGATGGAAGAGGTGTATATAGTACTTTCTCAGATAAAGTTTAGAAATGAAAACAAATAAGCAAACAATATAGACATGCTCAGAATAAAATATTGGAATAATTTTTTTTCAAAGATTCAAAGCTGAATCTCACTTCTATCACTTTAAGATTGCCATAAGTCCTATTTCTACCAAACCAGTAACCTCATGATATTTTTTGCAGTGGTTTCTTTGCTCAGTTCTGTTGGAGACTATTGTATTATTTTAGCATAGCAAAAAGAAACCTTGATTTAACCAACATGGTATATAGTTTGATGTTTCCAAAATATTGAATGTGTAATTTTTATGCCACAGTTCTACAGTTGCAGTATTGCTTAATCTCTAAAACAAAGCCCTTGACCAGCCAAATTATTAAAAAAAATATTTATTAAATGTATATGCACAGTTTGAAAAGTGACTCTTAATATAAAAGATCTCACGGAAAAATCTCTTGGGTAATATTACGATATCTTATGATAGTTTGGACATTTGGGAGGATTATCAGGCCATTTTATAAGACTGTATTCTGATGTCCAAAATCTTAACAGATTTAACAGTTTCCAACATCTTGGACCAATCTTTTCTGTCTTAGAACAAGTTCATCCAGGGAGGGGAGATGGTGATAGTGATGGAAATATCAAAACAGTCAAGATAATGGCTGTAGCATCATGACTGAAGTCTCATCTGTTTACACTTTATATATGGGTGCAACATTGAGCCATATACAAAAGGGGCGCAGCTGGGATCATGCCATCATGATTGCCATCTTATGTGTTTTGACCTTTCTGAACACATCACAGTGCAGAGCCTCCAAAGATATAGGATGATGAGGAGTGACTTACAACCACAAACTATGCTGCAATATGCCATGTATAAAAAATAAAAACTACAACATAGAGAAAAACTAAAGGGATAATCAAATTTTGAAGCACCTGTATGAATCCCACACATAAAATCCATTTAAATATTTAATATTCATTCATTTATAATCTTTAAGGGGATTGTTAATTGCATGGCCATGGTCCACACAGTAGGTACCTTAAAATATTATTGAGCTTAATCAAAACTTAAGAGCCATGCTAGGGCAATGATTAGAATGCAGTATTGCAAGCTAATTCTGCTGACTGTCAACAGTTTGATCCTGCTGACAGTCTCAAGGTTGACTCTGCCTTCCATTCTTCCGTGATTAGTAAAATGAGGACCCAGATTGTTTGGGGGCAATAGGCTGACTCTATAAACTGCTTAGAGAGGGCTGTAAAGCATTGTAAAGCGGTATATAAGTCTACGTGCTATTGCTATTGCTAAAAAGCTCAAGTCTTACATCTTCTTATAATCTTGGATGACTTAAACATTCCTAGTGTATTTAACATTATGATTTGCTGGCAGGGTAGACAAAAGCAAGAAACCACAGAAAGAATATTGTGGAAATAGGACTTGGAAAAGTTCTCATAACTTTGAAAGCCTCCAACTCATTCCCAGGAGATTGAAGACCAACACTCTTGGCATATTTGAAGTGACTGCTGTTTTTCATTCTTATTTTTGTTTTGTCCCACCTTCTTTTACCATGCAGGTCCTATACAGAGAAAACCTAGGGACAGGCACCCCAACTCCTGTCACTCCTGAGATGGAGAGAGTCAAACACAACCAAGAAATCATTAGCTCGGTACTTTTAGGAAACTGGCATTTTAATTCTCTTTTTTTAAAAAAAGCTTTTCCCCAGTTCCATCTTGCTAATGTTTTCATTATGCATTTCTATGAAACTTTGATCTTTGTTGTTCAACTTAGGATAGCATCATTTTGGAGACTTTTAAACCTTCCTCTAATCAATACCTTGCCTCCAAATTATTGCCAAAATACAACATTCCATTTTCCTATCACTGGTATGTTCGATCATCTTTGAATATTTTACAGAGATCCAAAGCACACCTTCAAAGGATGACACTGTATATAAAGAATACTAGTGTCTGCTTTTTGAAAAAAAACAAAACCTTTTACGATGCCACCATCCAGCCAGATGTCCTCTTCTCGATCAACTTCTTTGTAAAGCATCAATAACAGAATCCTTCAATTTTACTTATTGCTGGCTTACTTGGCTAATCTTCTATCCCACAGGTGTTGTACAAAGAGAATGTAGGGAAAGCAACTCCAACTTCTGTCACTCCAGAGATGGAGAGAGTGAGACGCAATCAAGAACACATTAGCTCGGTATTTGAAAGAAGAAGAAAAAAAGAATTCTTTGAATTCTTTGAAATGAATTGATGTGTTAATGACTTCCCTTTCTAACTATCAGTAGTGCTGATTCATCTCCCAGAAAAAGCCTCCTTTCCTTGGAATTCTTTCTTCAACTTAGGTGTACTACTGACTCACCATTTTTAATATTCAGTACACTTAGAATCCTCTCCACCCTCCTACCCCTTTCTGCCTTTCTTATCCAACTACATAATTTTCTTCCATGGTTGTTGATTAAAAAAAATCTGCTCCAACTAACAGAGGGCAATCAACAGCCAGCCCTCTTTCCTGGAAGTTGGTGTGATCCAAGTATTAACACCAAAAGCTATTAACATCTTTTGATGAACATTACTGTTTTGTAATTACCAGATTGCCTTTTTTTATATCCTCTAGGTGTTGTACAAAGAGGACATAGGGAAAGGAACTTCCGTACCCATCACTCCAGAGATGGAAAGAGTTAAATGCAATCAAGAATACATTAGCTCGGTATTCAAAAGAAGAAAAAAAATGATCTGAATTCTTTGAAATAAGTTGATGTGTTAATGACTTTGCTTTCTAACTATCAGTACTGCCAATTCACCCCTTACAACAATCTCCCCACCCCCAAACCCCCAAACCTTGGAATCTTTGTTTACTATTACTACTAAGACTTGACTCACTACTTTTCAGAACATAGATAAATTTCACATTTTTAAAGCTTTTCCGTCTTTCTTATGCTACTGGATTATTTTCTCTTGTGGGTGTTGATTACAGGTCTCTGTTCCGGATGACAATGAAATCAACAGCCAGCTAGCTTCATTGGAAGCTGGCGTGATCCAAGTATTAACACCATAAACGATTAATATTTTTTCATGAACATTGCTGTTTTGTAATTATTGGGTACCTTTTTTTGTATTCTATAGGTTGCATACAAAGAAGATGTAGGGAAAGGAATCCCTACACCTGTCACTCCAGAGATGGAGAGAGTTAAACGCAATCAAGAACACATTAGCTCGGTATTCAGAAAAAGAGAACATTAACCGGATTTCTTTGAAATACTTTGATGTATTAATGATCTTACTTTCTAACTATCAATAATGCCTTTTCGCCTATTACAAGCCTCCTATCTTTGACATTTCTTCTCCAGACCAGGTCTACTTATGCTACTAAGATATGCTCACTTCTTCTTCTTTTTAACAAACACGGAATTTCCTCCCCTTTTGTTTTTGCATTTTCATCTTTCTTATCCTATCAGTTTTTTTCTCCTTTTATGGGTGTTGATTCAAGTTCTCTGCTTCAGATGACCCTGAAATCAACAGCCAGCTGGCTTCATTGGAAGCTGGTGCAATAGAAATATTAACCACACTGCCTATTAATATGTTTTCTGATCCTTGCTGTTTCATAATTGCTGGATACTCTTTTGCATCCTTCAGGTCTTATACAAAGAGGGACTGGGAAAAGGTACCCCGATACCTGTCACTCCTGAGATAGAGAGAATCAAACGCAATCAAGAACACATTAGCTCGGTATTCAGCAGAAGAGAAATTATATTTAAATATTTAAAAAATAAGTTGTGTGAATGATCTGTGCTTTCTAACTGTTGGCGTCTCAATTTTACCCTTAAAACAAGGTTCTGACCTTTGGAATTCCTTCTTCAACCTAAATCTTCTACTCCTGCTACTACTGTTACTACTACTAAGAATTGATTCATTGCATTTATTTTTCAGCAAACCCAATGTTTTCACCTTCTTTTCAGCTTTTCTATCTTTCTTATCCTACTAGAACATTTTCTTGTGTGGGTGTTGATTAAAGGTCTCTGTTACGGATGACCCTGAAATCAACAGCTAGCAAGCTTCCCTGGAAGTTGGTGTGATCCAAGTATTAACACCATAAGTTATTAACATCTTTTGATGAATATTGCTGTTTTGTAATTACTAGATTACCTTTTTTTATATCCTGTAGGTGTTGTACAAAGATGACATAGGGAAAGGAACTCCTACCCCTGTCACTCCAGAGATGGAGAGAGTCAAACGCAACCAAGAACATATTAGCTCGGTATTTAAAAGAAAGAGGCAAAGGAATGAATGGTTTAAAATAATATTAAATGTGTTAAAGCTTTGTGTTTTCTAACTGAACTATAGCTCTCATTTCTGCCTCTTGGCCTAAACCATTTACCTTTTGAACTCTTTCTGCAACTTAACTTTAACATATTCCCAGAAAAAATTGAGTTACTACTTTCTTCCGCAGAGTGTTTGATTGGCTGTCTATCAGTCTTCTTATCCTACTAGCTTGTTTTCTGTTTGGTTGTTGACTGAAGGTCTCTGTTCTGACACAAATCAACAGTTTCTATACTGAACGCTGGTGTGTTCCTGGCATTAACATTGTAAACTCTTGAAATATCATTTTGGTTGTTGCTATTCTATGGTGACTGGACACCCGTTTTTTACCTTGTAGGTTTTGTACAAAGAGGGATTGGGGAAAGGTACCCCGATACCTATCACTCCTGACATGGAGAGAGCGAAGCGCAATCAAGAGTTCATTAGCTCGGTACTTTAAAAACAAAAATATTTTTGATATAATAAAATATAACATGCTAACAAAACTTCAGAAATGTTGCCTTTTGTATCTAAAAATATCCTTGAAGTAAAATACTGATATATTCATCACTTACCTTCTACTCATAAGATACCTCTGATATTAATATTAATATTCCACCATCAGATTTTGAAGAATTTTCATAATCTAGCAACGATGCCAATAGGACTCTATCCAGATATTTCTACATGCTATGATTTCTGGTCCAAATAACTTGGTCTTGAGAAGAGGTTTATGCCAGTAATTGTTTTGTAAAAGGCAGAATAATTCACGAACAATTATATACAGTAATCTTAAAATATAAGCTATCCCTTTTGGGGATTGTGGAAGGCCGAGTCATACAAACACATGATTAACATTTCTATATGCCCCTCAGCTGCTGATCATATAAAATTGCACAGCAGAGAAAACACAACATAATCAGAGTTTTGTTCTGGAACTGATGAAATGAAATGCGGGAATGAGATCTTGTTGATAACAAGATTTAGGAAAAACGATCCTGCTTTCCTGAGGGCAAAGAGGCAGCACAGCTTGAAAAGTTTGCTCAGCAGGAAGAGGGTCAAGATGTCTCCTCCCTAGTTTTTCTTTGAGTATATCTGTAGTTATGCAAATACTTCCTTTAGTCTGGCATGTTTTTGTCCATAGGTGAAGACAGAAGGTGTCTCTATATAGAAGAATAGAGGAAACCATTCAGAAGTATCTCCACATGTTATTTTTGATTCTTGGAGCCTGACAGTAATGATGGATTTCAGTATATTCTTCTTTAGCAGGGTTATTGTTCATGCATGGTGTAGTGAGGTTTGCAGAGAATCCAATCATGTCCAATCTAAAAATAAACAGAACCTTAATGTACCAATAGAAGAGAATCTATGTAGATCAAGATTATATCGTGGAGTCCTTGGTGGTTTCTGAGCTTGGTTGTTTGTTTGCTCACGTTTCATTACCCAACTAGTTAACATCATCAGTGCTAGTGGGTGTGGTGTTTGCTCTCTGTTTATATGCCATAGCTTGCCCTGCCAGTGTTGGTGGGGGTATGGTTTTTTGCTTAGTAATACACTGGCAGGGCAAGCTATGGTATATAAACAGAGAGCAAACTAGCACTGATGAAGTTATTGAGTCGAATAATAAGACATCTGCAAGCAACACATCCAGCTCACAGAGCACCAAGGACTCCATAGTACCTTAATATCGGTAGGAGTAAGATGTGATCAGAAGTATGTACGGGAGTGAGAATGAAAATATTTATGAATTTGTATGGAGAACTGTACACTGTCTTTAGTCCATTCCCTATGAGAAAAACATCTCAAGGTAACTTCTTGTTCCATGGTTTTCACTGAGCAAGCAATTGATGGGAAACAGAAATTATTTGATTACTATTTTGTTAGTAAGATAACTAATATTGGACCATTATTTTAACCATAAAGACTTCATTGAAAAGAACCATTGCACAATGTAATGGATCTTGCTAACTGGATAGAATCCTTATATTTAAAATAATATTTTCTGTATTAATCATCTCACCTTCTTAATTTTTCCTTCTAAATGCTGCTACTTGGATGTTGCCTTTATTAATTTCCACCACAATATACTACAATTTCTCTTTGTGATTTCTCATAGAATATTTGTTCATATATTGCAGAGATCCCTCTAACAAATAAGTGAGGTTTGATTGAAGCACCTCTTTGTCTTGCGTTCATATGGCAGTTTTATTAAACGTCTTTGATTTCATAAGAATCTAAAACCATGTTAACTGATCAGTGAAGTATGTGTTTTCCTAACTTGTGTGAAATAGAGAAAAAAATAACCATATCTCAAATGACATTTCATTTTTATCAAGTTTACCTTGGACATCATGAAGTTTTTATCATTTTTATATTTTTATTTGTATTCTTTTTTGGAAAAGCCTTGAAGCACTTTTTTGGAGGGCAAAAGAAATAAAAGCTAGATATTTTATTTGAATTATATTTTTATTATTCTTTTTGTGACTTTTTTGTGATTGTGTGATTTTTGGATACTTTTTACAATCTTCAGGTTCTCTACAAAGAAAATTTGGGGCAAGCAACCCCAACACCAGTTACTCCTGAGATGGAAAGAGCCAAACGCAATCAAGAAAACATTAGCTTGGTATTGGGGGAAAAAAGAAGTAACTTAAAATAACAAATTTGATCAATCTTGTCCTGCATCTAATATAGCTCAATCCTACTCATTTTATATATTTTTAAACACAACACTCCTTTTATTGTCATTTTTGTTCTTATTCTTGTTTTTTCCCCCCCACCCTGTAACTTTTTAACCAATTTGTTTCCTGGGTGATGTTTCTATCCATGTAGTGATTACACTCTTACTTCATAGTAATCCAATTTAACAAAATCATTCACGAACAAGCATCTAATCTTTGATTTTTGAACACTTTATTGTATGCTGTATAGGTTATGTACAAAGAGAGCCTGGGAAAAGGAACCCCAACTTCTATCACTCCAGAGATGGAGAGGGCCAAACGCAATCAAGAAAACATCAGCTCGGTATTTTCAAGAACAACCAATTTATATTTTATATACTTTATATATACTTATTGTTTACACTTATATATACATTATTTCTTTAATGTTCAAAATATTTCCAGACTAATAACTGCATTAGCATTATAACTTTATCTTGGCATTTAAAAACTAATATGTTATCTAAGCATACAATCTTATTTTTAATTGTGTCACATTTCTATCTAAGTATGGCTTAAGGATTTTTAAATTGCCACTGTCTTCAGTAAACAGTTTGACTTTTTTTTTTTAAAAAAAAAGATAAATAGCCTTTATATTATTCATGTTATATGGATCAAAATGATATTTGCATTTTAGACTTTTTTAAAATAAACCAAACCTGCATTAATCTAAATGTAAGTTTTACGATTTCCTCAGATTGCCATGAAGCAGTTCTTTAGAAATATTTTAACCATTTTATGTCTGATAATGTAAGACCTAAAAAGAAGGTAGTCAACACACATACAATTGTAGATGTCAAGGTACACATGTCTTTTCTGTAAATGCACAAAGGCATTTGAGCCACATGGAGATGATGGTGGAGCTACTTCAAGCTCTGACATTGGCTTCCTGTGGCTTTTATCATTCTCAGAAGTACAATCCTGGACTTCATGATTTGCTCTCCCCTTTTGGGCCTTATGAATACTAATCACAGAGTTAGGTTCTATCTGCTATAAAGTCTCTCTTCCTTACATTTGTTCACAGTGTGGGTGCAAGTGAGATCACCCTTGTCTTGAGTGTATCACTTGTGCTTCAGGTTTGCATGGAAAATGTTTGCACCAAGTACTTTTTGGGCCTGCCAAATCATGATAGAAGCATCATTGCCTTTGGAGCAAACAAAATCTAAAGCTGGCACTTTTTCTTGGAATGGTGCTTTGAGTGCCTGAGATTAAGACAGGCTATTGCATTGTACTATATTGGAAATAGACCACATTTATAAGCAGAACATCTTAGAACTGTGATGACGAACCTATGGCATGCATGCCCAAAGTGGCACGCGGAGACATGTCACGTGTGGCGTCACCTGTTCTTCCAGGTTTCTGGAGCGCATTGGCATGTGATGATCAGTTGGCCTTTGTGCATGTGGCAGTGCCTGAAATTGGAAGAGCTGGTCTTTTCCAGCGTGAGCATGCGCACTGGCCAGTTGATCAGCGCTTGCAGATGCGCGGCAGTAATCGGAAGACTTGCTGGCTGGCCCACATGTGCCAGAAACCAGAAGTACATTTTCCAGTGCGCACATGCCCCCTGGGCAGTCCCTCTTCCTGGTTGCGGTGTAAATAAGCGTGCACACGAGTGCAAAATTCTCCTTTTTCGGCACTCGGTGTCACGCGGGCATGCACGTGCTTCCTTTTCGGCACTCAGTGTCAAAAAGATTCACCATCACTGTCTTAGAACCTTCTATTAGCCATGCAGAAAAAACAACGAAGAGACAATGCAAAACAGTTGTCTGTGTTCTATTGCTGTTGTTTTTGAAACAATCCTTCAGGTTGAGTAGGTTAAAAGATTATATAAACAGATTTCTTTTAAAGAAATAATATTACATGCCCAATAACTTTTTAAGATCAAGAGTTAGTAAAGAATAAATGTTTCTAGTAAGCCCCTAAACTTGTTTGCATGTTTGGCACTTCTTGTTTCCTTACAACTTCTAAATGAAGCATCTCTTAAAAATCTGTTCACTAATGGCTGGAGGCATTGATTCAAACTTTTTAATGTTGTCAGATCCTCTATTCGGATAGCTTCCGGAAGCAAGTACAAGGTAAAGCACCTTTTATCCTGGATACCCCTGAAATGAGGCGTGTTCGGGAGACACAACGGCACATTTCCACAGTGAGTACTGCTTTATATGAAAGTCAAGAAACAGCCAAGTAAACTGTCAACAGTAACATATTTTAAGATACAGCAGTTCAAATGTAACATCCAAAGCAAAAACTAAAATCTTCTTATGGAGTTTGGACAACGTAGGGTATAAAGTTTTCATAATTTCAGTGGGTAAGCAGATATTAACCACTTACTTAAGATAGCTTTCCCCAATCTGATGCCTTTCAAGCAAAAATACTATGAATGCCTTATTTAATCAGCAAAATTAATTATTGGGGAAATAATTCCTAGTTTTTAGAGGCTGAAAATTATGAGTGTTGCACTCCACTACTAACTCTTACCAGGTAAGCTATCACAAATATGACTATCTGGAATGGATTTGTATTTTGTTTTTAAAAAATTCCAGGTGAAATACCATGAAGACTTTGAAAAGACCAAAGGTAGTTTCACACCTGTTGTCACAGATCCCATAACAGAACGTGTAAAGAAGAATATGCAAGACTTCAGTGACATTAACTATAGGGGCATTCAGAGAAGAGTTGTAGAAATGGAGCAGAGACGAATAGGTCAGGATCAAGAAGTGAATAACCTAACAGGTATATCTTATATTGTATGGATTTTCCTAAATGAAGCATACAAAACTATAATGCATTGTGTCAAGATATGCGGCAGAGAATTAATTTTACCGAATATGGTTTTTTTTTAAAGTTGATTTATCTTGAGAGTTTACCTGTACTAAACTTTACACTATGTCTAAACCAAATCTGCTTGTAAAATCCATTCTTCATAGCATACAGACATTATTCTGCGCATCAGCAAATTTATATTGAAGTCAGAGTTTATAATGAAGTCGTCTATTGAATTAATGGGTCTATTCCAGATTCAATTGTTTGGAAAGTATCTTAAATCATCTAACCATAATTGTTTGTCTGTTATGTTTAGCTTTGTTGTTTCTGAGTCAAGCCACATTTCAAGCATAGCTACTGTGTTTCCTGGAAAATAAGACAGGGTCTTGTTTTCTTTTGACTCCCGGAATAAGTGCTTGGCCTTATTTTCGGGGAGGTCTTATTATTTTTGAGGTGCAGGAGGTGGTGACCAGGGTCACCTCATGACTGCTGCTATGTTCCAATATTTTCAGGGAGGGCTTATTTTCAGGGGAGGGGTTATTTTTGGGGGGTTATTTTAGTGCATACGCTCAAACATCTGATTGGGTTTATTATTATTATTTATTATCTTAAATTTTGACTGATTGCAAAGTCAAACTGCAATAACACAAAACACCATCCCACTCTCACCCTACATTGCTGCAGGCCTTCGGGTATGGCGAACCAATCCTGGATCAGTCTTTGACTATGACCCAGCAGAAGATAACATTCAGTCGAGAAGCTTACACTTGCTGGCAGGTATGTTGTGCTGTGTGTGAAATTGTGAACATGGTACTGATGGAAAATAATATTTGAGCTTCATTATGGATGAAACACAAGGTAGCAGCTTATGGTTTTAGCTCTCTCAAATGCAGTTTTAGTTTGTTAGGAGTTTAACATATCTTACTTTCCCACTAAGTAACAAACCACAGTGTTCCCCCTCACTATTATTTCTTCACCTCTGACTCCCAGTTCAAGCCCAGCGACGTAGCCGAGAGCATTCACGTTCCGCCAGTGCAGTCAGTCTCAGTGGCGGGGATGAAAAATCTGAGCATTCAGAGGCTGCTGATCAACATTTGTCGTATTACAGCAATGGAGGCTACTTTCCTACAACTGCCACAGGTAAAAACATAAATAAATCCCCATTCAATATATATTAGGGAGCAACTAATAGCTGGAAGTAGTTGATGGAGTAAGAAATCCCCATTCTAGCCAACGCTTTAGTTCTAGTTTCAATACAGTTTTAAAATGTGGTGAAGCATGATGAAGTGTTGTGAAGGTTGGACTAGAAGACTTACAAGGTTTCTTCCAGCTTTATTCTGATCAATCAATTGATTAATGTTTTAATATTTTAATTATTCTTCTACTTGTTTTATAAACTTGTAAACTGCTCAGAGTCACCTTACAGGGGAAATTGGTGCAATAATTTGTGTGTGTATGAAAATTTAACAAATAAAAACTAATAGAAACTAAAAAAGAATGAAAAAGAAAAAAAGGAGATTTTTAAAAAAAGCTAAAAGTGCAGAAAGGAAAAAAGAAATATAGAAACAAGAAAATAGTATAAAGAAAAAGTATAAAGAAATGGCTTCCAATCTTTTTCACAATAGTTATATTTTAACTTCTCTGTCAAAGTTACCTCATGACTCTCTTCTTTTTATAACCTATCCTATTTAATCATCAAAAGCTTACATCATAAATTATTATTTTTTCTTTTGGCTTCCATTTTCTTACTCTCCTCATAAGCCAATTGTTTAGAATTTAATCAGTTTCCCTGAAGTTTGATAGAAAGACCAGAAGAGCATTGTTAGAGCCAAATTTCAGATTTATTTTATGTGTTAAAAAAATGACAGAAAAGATAACACTAGCTGCTATACCAGCCACACATTATTTTTGATACCTATGTAAGGGTTGCTTATAACATGATAACACCTTCTTGGGAATGCAACATTTGTTGTTAGTTGCGAAGTTGTGTCTGACCCATCGTGACCCCATGGACAATGTTCCTCCAGGCTTTCCTGTCTCTACCATCCTCTGGGGTCCATTTAAGCTTATGCCTACTGCTTCAGTGACTCCATCCAGCCACCTCATTCTTTGTCGTCCTTTTCTTCTTTTGCCCTCAATCTTTCCCAGCATTAGGCTCTTCTCCAGTGAGTCCTTCCTTCTNTTCTTCTTTTGCCCTCAATCTTTCCCAGCATTAGGCTCTTCTCCAGTGAGTCCTTCCTTCTTATTAGGTGGCCAAAGTATTTAAGTTTCAACTGCCAAAATTTATTTAATGTTCAATACCAGAGTGATTCTTTTCAGTCAGGAAAAAGTACTGAAACGTAGCAACACCTTTGTATGCCAAAAAGAAAAAACAAATAGTACCATCTCTGTGAGCAGGCATTCTTTTACATTTTTTTTACAAAAAAATGTTCTAACAATACATACATCAGTGCTATATTAATGTATACCTCAACCTCTAACCAAATTTGAAAAAAACATACCCAGTGTTCAAGCACCATTCAACCATGTATTTTGAAAACACACTGGGGTATTTTTTTGCTTTCCTTCTTCTGATATATTTCAACTTTTTTTCCTTCATTAGTGGATTACAAACATGCCAAAACTGTAGAGCTGCCACAACAAAGATCATCTTCTGTTGCGACCCAACAAACTACAGTATCTTCCATACCCTCTCATCCATCTACTGCAGGGGTAAGCAAATCTATCTGACAAAAAGTATGTATAAAAATGGTGTTTTCTGCAGGCAGACGGTATGTCTGAATTGAGCCTGTGTACAGGTGATTCCACCACAAGCCAATGACCTCATCAAAATGGTGCAACCTGATTCATGACATCAAGCTTTGCTCCTTACATGCTTACATATAAGGTCAGGATGGCAAACTCTTGACGGCAAACTGTAATGGAGAAGAAACTTGGATTATGTTGTTACATTTTATCATTAACTTTATCATTAACCCTATGGAAGGGTTGCCATTTCTTGAGAGAAAAAGAGAATCTTTCTATGTCTGAATGGATGGTCATCTTTGGGATGAATATTTATTCACTTGAGGGATTGAGGTATATTATTAATGTGTTTGGGATGGAGGTCTTTACATTCAAAGTGTTAGGTAAGCTCCCCATTGGGAGAGCGAGTGCGTTCAGAGAAGCATTGTGAGAGTGTGTTGGAGAACATATAAACCAGCATACAGAGAAGCTGCAGTTTAAATAGGCTTTTACTTTCGTGGAAATAGAGGTATCAGAGTCTATCAAACAGTCCAAGTCATACACGGTTAAGACAGTCAGTCATCAACATCTTTCAGTTAAGGGATAATCCAAATAACATAGTCCATAATCATACAAACAATCCAGTACACAAAGTTTGCTAGCAGTTGCAAAGCTTACAGTAGCTCACGCTGATCACTATATGGCACTTCTAACAGCCAGCTTCCAAACACTCAGATCAGATCAGCATCTAACAATGATTCTGGCTCCATCTTATGGCCGATTGAGGAAACAGCAACCAATCACATTTACAGCATGATTTAAAGAAACAGGTACAGCGTTGTTACATGATTTATATATTGCCAACCCAACCGTTAGATTATATTCTTAACACAAAGTTTCACAGAAGTGTTGAATTGATTGTTCCCTGTACTGTTGTGTTTATGTTAGTAACATTTGGGTATTATTTTTCTCCCTAATATGACCACAATAGAAGACTTATCGTGCTATGTATGACTACATAGCAGCAGATGCTGATGAAGTCTCTTTCAAAGATGGTGATGCAATTGTCAACGTCCAAGCCATCGATGAAGGATGGATGTATGGGACTGTGCAAAGAACAGGCAAAACAGGCATGCTTCCAGCCAACTATGTAGAAGCAGTTTAAACGGAGACTCTCATTGACATGGACAATAAGAAGGCCCTTTATGCCACATCAGTACAATTCATAACAGTCACCCAAAGTGCCTTATTTTCTCTCTCGTGATACATGTGAAGAATTGTCTGGCATCTAAAACTTTCAGGAAACATTAGCCATCCTAGTTTGACTAGGTGCTTAAAAGAGAATTTGGGGTACCCGAAATGCAGTACATCATCCCTCTTTTAATCCGTCTGAATTTACACAATTCAGTTTACTTTCATGAATCATTGAATTGTATTGGTTTACGTGGTTTTTCTTCTCAAGAGATGCAGTGATCACACACAAGTCTAAATTCATCCGAATGTATCCATGTCTGTTCTAGTATACAACACCTGAAACTAGTTAGAAGTGGAAAGCCTCTCTTCTGCTCTACTTAGAAAATGCTGATTTGATGCATGCATTTTTAATCTGCGTATTCTTGGGTCGCAGTGCTGTTAATTTCCTCTTTAAATTAGTGGCTAATAAATGTCATGTTTCCGCAAATCTATTATGTGCTCTGTTTCTTCATTTTATGTACTTATTTGCTTCTCAGAGTTCTTGCTAGTGTCACTACAAGAGTACAATAAAATTATCCACAGCAGTGATAAAACATCCATAATATTAATACTAAAAAAATTCAAAATGCAAATTGATTTGAAAACTATTTGATGCTAACATGTAACCCATAAACTTGAGAGTGTCCACCAATCAATCTCTAGAAGCTTGCCAAAGCAATCCCATCTTTAACATATTCTAAAAATCTATTTACATAGGGAGAAAGTCTAGTACCCAAGGGGTATCTCATAGCATGAGCCATTACAGAAACATCAATACTTCCCCTTTATGTCATTAAACTAGGGAACCAACAATATTATCCACATGTACATATCAAGCAGGAAATGTCTGGCTGGAGATTATCCAATAAATACCGTTGTCCAAATCATATATGGCTTTGTAAGGCTTTAAATTGCAGCCAGAAGCTGTGAGTGACCAATGCAGGGCCTGCCTTACAAGTTAAGTATAATCTTTATTGTCATTGTACTTAAATACAATGAAATTGGTTATAAAGTATAATCTATTTCTGACAGCTAATATCTGGAGGCCACTCCAGTTTGTACCTATTGTAGCTTTCAAAAGGAGATTAAAAGCAGATCCGTGTACATGGGATACTTTGCTCTTGTGAGATCTTCCATTCTAGATACATCTTGGAAGGCTTGGTCAGTAGAGCTTTTACCCAGCCAGCCCTGCATATGATAGACCTGCCCATTAGCAGTGCTTCTCTATGACTCGAACAGTGAGGAGGTTGAGGAAGAGCTTGGGCCAGTTCTGGAGCCTGGGGTAGGCTCTGATTGATGTTCAGCATCGGACATAGAGATAGGACTGTCCAACATTTCCCAGCCACTAGCGAGGCAGTTGCCTTGGGAGGCTGAGATGAGTGAGGAGAAAGAACAGCTGGGGCCTTTTCAGATGGAAGTATGCTCAGAAGCAAATAATGGGAAGCAAAGCAAATTGGCTGAATTGGCCCCTCCCTGGCTGGGGAATAAATAGAAGGGGAGTGGCTGTCATAGGAGACAACAGTTCATATTTCTGGAGATTTTGCTCATTGTGTTTCCTGCAACTAAGACTGCTTGCCAGAACTTAATTTGCAGCCTTTGTCTGGGAGCTCACAGCCTTGCAATTATATTAAGGAATTGATAAGGCCTGCTGCTGCAGTTAACTCCTTGCAGGACTTTTGTCTGGACTTTCGGTGGGTGAATGCAATTAATTCATAAGAGGTAAATAAAGAGGGTTTTTTTAGTGACAAGGGGTCCATTTCTTGTTTATGCTAAGGCTGGGTCAGAACACACTCAGACCCCAAAAGCCTCCAGATAACAGACAAGACTTTGTATTTAGCTCAGGACATATTGCAGTTGGGTATCACCCAGGGGTGGGTTCCTACCAGTTCTAACCTCTTCTACAGAAGAGGTTCCACAAATCTACAGTGCCGTTTAGAACCGGTTCCAGCTCCCTCCCCCTACCCGTCCGCACATCAAGATGAAGAGCAAGAGGAGGAATCCTGGGAGTTGAAGTCCAGAAGTCTTAAAGCTGTCAAGTTTGAACACCCCTGGGTTTTTTTTTCTAAAGGGTTAGGGGTGCAAGGATCTTGTAACTTAACAGCTTTAAGACTTGTGTGCTTCAAATGCCAGTTTCTGAGCCAACATTTTGGTTTCTAAGCAAGAGCGTTGTTAAGTGAGTTTCACATTTTACAAGTTGGCCACGTACACCCAGTCACATGGCCAGCAAGCCACTTCCACAAAGCAGGCCACACCTACATAAGAGGTTCTAAAAAAAATTTGAAACCCACCACTGGTATCACCAGTATAATATTGCACCTTGAAACAGTGGGTGCAATACTTCTAGGAGACTGGAAGCATGTTTCCCCATTTACACAATTTTATTAAAAGCTATAAGCTTTAGGAGCTGAATATCCTTTCATCAGATGCAAAACTAAACTGATACTGGATTAAAACTGGGTTGGTAATGAAGACAGGTTGGTTATCCAGATGCAGGCAACACAGGAGACAATTAGAAATAACTTCTCCATTAACCATTGTAATGTGTTAAAATTCATTGTTTTAACCTTTTAACATATGTTGAGTTCAGCAATCTCTTGGTTAATTAATTAATTAATTAGAAATCTAAAACAGGGAATTCTGGGAGGTGGAACTCTGACGCAGACTTCCAAGAGATCATTTTGGAAAAATGACACTTTAATTGCATAATTGAACAAGAGATTGCTGAACCCACATATATCAAGATTAATGGGCACAATCCTCATGTATCAATTGGTCTTAGCTTTGTCTTCCTTAAGGAGGAAAATACGCTTGCTGTAACAAAATAACTGAATAGAGAGAGATTAAAAGGGGCAAGCAAAAAAGCAACAATTATTTCAGGTCAGTAAATTACATGGATACTAAATTTTGTCTTGTATTTTTAAGAGGCTTGTTGAGTCTAATTTATAATCCTCGTATGATGGTTGCCATAAAAATCTATGAATGATGAGTATAGGAAGAGATGTTACAAATGGTAGAAAACAAGGTGAGATTATATAACAGAAAAAATTAAAACTTCAATAAACAGGGATGCTGAATTAACACAATCTTTGATATCCTATCCAACCTATCTTGCAATGTCAAACAAGTGGGAAGCAATAACTAAAGGTTAAAAACTCAAGGATCCTCATCAAAAATCAAGATTAGATGATTGTTCTGAGTCATTTCCAACAACTTTGGGAATTGATGAAAGACAACATCGCAAATATTTTTGCCGAACTGGCTTATAAATTCTTATATGGCTTGTTCTCCCCGCAATATTGAAAGCTTAATCAGTCTTTGATTCTCTTGAGGTTTTCTCATACCCTATTCATTACCGATTTATGCTGAAAAACCAAAATTGGAATTAAATTACCATATAATCATAGAAGGTGCAATTGCCAGATTAATTTGGTTTTAAAATCCCTTTCTTTTAACCTTCACAAAGGACCAGACCTATTGATTCACCTTTGTCCCTTTTTCCTGCAATACACAAATCAGCACTTTTGCCATGTCAGTTATTAATAGTTTTAAATGCTTTAAAAAAAAAATATTCTCTTGACTAAAACTAATTTTAATCTTAACACAACAGTTCTCCCCTCCCAAATAACTACAACCATTTTATTCAACCATTTATATATTTTATTTATATATATATTTATTTCCTAAAACATAAATTGATCCCATTGTTAAGTCAACTTTAAAAAGCACAAATATGCTCTATACAAAGTTTCTCCCATTCAAGCATGTTAAGACTCTGCCTTTCATACAGATATAATTTAGAGCATTTGCATTTAGTACATCTATACATAATATACAAAATTATTCTTATGTCCAGTTTATTTAGGACTCATGAATGGGGCAAATAAAACCTTTGTGGTGTATAAAAATTCAAAGAGCACGTGGTCAGATCCTGAGAATTACTTATTGGGATTATGTACTGACACACTTTTTTTCTTTTGCATACTACATTCATGAAAAAATAGACTATGTCCTATGAAAAAGTTTGAGATATTTTTAGTATGCTAATGAAGCACCATACTTAATATGGTAATGAAGCTATAAAACTAGTACCTTCCAAACAACTATCAGTTGGAAGATTTGTATAACTTTTGGTAAATTAATTAACACTTCAAACTTTAGAGAGAACAACAAAACCAGGGCTTTAAATATTGACGATGCGTCAAAGCCCTTTTGATTTAAAATACTTAACATTTAAAATATATACTGCTCCGTATTGTGGCATGTTTCACAGTCATTACTGCACATCTTACCACATATTTTGGAAGTTGTGCATAGCAGCAATTTAAAAAAAGAAAACCTTAAAATGCAAGTCCACAGAATTTAGAAGTTTAAGATTTATATTCCAATGCTGTATTTGCTTCAAGTTACAGGAATCCCTTTTACTTAAAATATGTAATGAATCTAAATATTAATCTCAAATTTAAATCTTGGATTGAAATTTGCAATCAAATGTATTCTTTTGGGGTTTTTTTAAACAGTGGTTTCGCAAGATCTCGAAAGCATCCAACGGGTCTTCAGAGTTTTCATGATGCAGTCTGTCATGCTATGAAGCTTCTCTTGCATTTCAAAGAGTTCGTTCCCTGAATAGTTCCGAAGTCTTTCAGAAGAAAGTTGGTCAGCAAGTAGATTAACCTGAGTCCAAAGGTCTATTGCTGATGACTCACCCGAACTGGAGACCTCGGGTTCACATTGGTCTAAAATGAAAGAAAAGAAAACTGGTTTGTAAAGACATTCTAGGTGAGACCAAATTAAAGCCCATTCAGACACAAATAGTCTGTAACTCTTGTTATAGCAATAGCAGTTAGACTTATATACCGCTTCATAGGGCTTTCAGCCCTCTCTAAGCGGTTTACAGAGTCAGCATATCGCCCCCACAGT